CGGGGGGGGGGGGAGGCGAACTGGTAGAGCTAGGAATCAACAGGTTCTTATTATTTAGGTTATAATATAGCGATCAGGGAGTGGAAACTGGTTGTGGGTGTTAATGAAAATGTAAACGTTTGGTAGTTACAGTATGTGAGTGAATATGGATATCATTCATATTGTACTAAGTACCGGTACTTCCGTCGGTATCCACGTATTGCGTCACTAGGCCAAGTGTTGCATCAGCCGGTTTCCTTCAGTCGTCTCAGTAGAACTCAAATAACGTCGGTGTATAATTATAAACTATACCATACCTTAATAACACCTTATGCCTGATGATTTAACAAGAAAATGAAACGTTAGGAGATAATTATTTGCATACATGTATTCTGTATATAAGATTGTTCAGATTGTTTGTTCCAGCTCAAGATATTAGTAATAGGTTAAATAGTTTATTCAAATCAAGTGTACTACTGTCTTGATAATTAGGTACCAGTACAACACATAAAACGGTATAATATAATGCAGTATAATACATGGGAGGTTGAAATATAATGTAAGAAACTCATGCAAATTATGCACTACCAAGCATTTGAGTTTATAACTGGATGGAACCGGTATAAGTTGATATATCTCAGCTTTGTAAGGTTAATGACGTGAATCAGGAATTAACCTTGATTTGAAAAATGAATGGATTGCAAAGGTGTGGTGAATAATAGTAATAGTAATAATATATAATAATAATGAATGATAAAATAATACATCTATCTGTAGGATGGGATGAAATGATGAGTGACAGTGTAGATCTTATTAAATGTACTTTACAATATATAGTGGAATAATGTGGCATCAGAAAAACAACTAAACTTTGTTATAAATTAAAGTATAAAAAAATAGCTGATTGAACTTTGCACAATGTATATTTTCTATGAATTGTAAGGAGGGTTACCATTAAACATGCATAATTGTTGTGGTGCTATATTACAAGGCTTGATACTGCTATGTAGATATATTTAGTTCATTTTCTAAGCAACTTACATATGCAAATTACCAATTATAATTCTTGTTCAAAGTAAGCTGATAAGAATGACATCTATCTCTACCAGACAGTCTGGTCTTGAGGGTTTAATGTTAAAGTTCAGTGGTTGTTGAGATGGGTATAGGAACAGTTGCATCCAATATTTATACTAATGAAAATGGAGCAGATGAAAATAATAATAATAAATACACAGAATACAAATTGGGTAACACTTGTATATGTATATATGTCTGGTTGATGACATGGTGGCAGAAATAAAACTATACATTGCCTCCCACCCACTCACCCCCTCCAAACACTGTACTGTAGCCTCTCTATACAACCTTTGTACCCACTCCTTAACTCTGTTTACATGTCTGGCTGAGGTGAGGTAATTAATCTTATATAACATGGCTAGTAATTTCATAAAGGGACAAATGATGAAATATTGGCACAAAAACTATTATTCACAAGTTTTCTTCAACTGTTTCTTAAACACTAACTCAATCCTCACTATTTATTATAGTGTTAAAGTGGTTTTTAAATACTACAAAATATTCATTTTAAATATAATTTTTTCTACCATTGGCCAAGGAAACAGGGGTTAAAATGAAATATTTTAAAAAGGGCTTTTAGATATGATGAGCACATGCCATTGAAATAGTGAAAGGGAAGATTACATGTAAAGATGTACAGTAGGTGCTCCATTTACTGCCTCTGTAACCTATTTGTCTGGATACTTACCCCAATATTGAAATTGTGACACAATTTAGATGACCTTTTACTTTGCATGCAGTCAGTTCATGACAAATGGTGCAAGGTGCAACAATATTATTATTATTATTATGTTCCTCCACCCTTTTATCTATCCTTGGGGACAGATAGCCCTACTTTTTATCAATGCTCATGATAGTCCATTTGTTTGCTTGTTTATGTGCAAAGAAAATATATCAGCTGAAGGCCCACATTTATCTGCCATTGTGTTAATTTTTAAATTTTTTCTTATTTCATAAAAGTTTGTGAATGGATGATATTTGTTTGGAAAAGAGAAAGTATCTCCAAAGACAATATTTAATACATTTAATTTAATTAAACTTGATTATCAATAACAGGGGTGTACTGCACCTATCTATACTTATACTACATGTAGCATGCTAAAAGTTATGAGAGTACTTAAGATAATTTTTTAGGGCATATTAGAATTGGTTTCTACCATTCCATCATGTACTTAGTTTTGTTATAAACCCAAAGACAGACCTGACATATGGCCCAAGCAAATGCACTGGGGTAGTCAGGCTACACTGAGTAACATGCACTTAGCCCTATTCACCTTAGTTAATTGCTAGCTATGTTTCTATTAGAGAACTAAGCCTGGAAACTGCTTTCTATGTAAATAGTGCAATATAAAACATGAATGGTCTTTAAGAAAATCCACACTATGTCTTCATTGTGATGTGCATGCCAATTTATGCTGATGTGACCTTTCTCTACATGGCAATTGCATGTGTTAAGTTCATAATATGTGAGAAACAAATGGTGCGTTGTACTTTATACTATCTTAGAGAAAGCGTACAGAACTCGGAATTAGATTTAATGTGTAATTGTGTCTTCTTAATGAGTTAATTAAATGAGTAAAAGCAACTTTTTCAATTTTGTTATTAAACATATTCTTGAAGGTAAGTCAGGAAGCGAAAGATAGTAATTTAAATTAGTTTGGTAGAAAATATCATTTATGTACATTTGAAATTAAAGAATGAGGACTAATGTGCATTTCAAATTATTTTAATTCAGTGGTTGAGATTTATTAGTGCCCTTAGGACATGGATACTGTTCAGGAGTTCATTGTGCATAATGAATACTAAAACAAAAAATTTTTAACGTTATAGATTTGTACATTAAAAAATTATTAGTTTGCAAAAAAGAAAAGGTCAATATGAGGAAACTTGAAAAATTCAGTTTATTCATATTAATGGCTCATTTTTGATTGAGGAAACTTGATTTTTTTTTCAAAAGCCAAAAGAAATAGATATTGACATTCAAGATATTGGAGAGTATAAGTCTTCCAGTGGGAAATTAAGAAACACTAAAATCCTTCTCAATATCCTGATCCAGGTCACCATAATGCAGGCATCAGTTTGCAGACATCACTGCAGATACCTACAGCGCCACACACAGCAAAGGTACTACGGCACTAGGATACCAAGGCCTGCCGTCCTTACCCCGGGGATGTTAAGATCTGTCCTGCATACCCCAGGGACTGTCTCCTCCTGGTCTGGTCTTGTGGCAACAGTCAGTGCATTGCATACTAACAGCACACTGCAGAAGAGTGCCATTAAGTATCGTGCTGACTTGAAACATGGCCGTCGTATTGTGGTCAAGTTGGGAAGTGCAGTTATAACTCGTGAAGACGAATGTGGTCTAGCACTGGGAAGACTGGCTTCTATTGTTGAACAGGTTTGTTAGACTTTTTTGTTTCATTTTCTTTTATTTAGTTGTAAGATTTTGGGCATTTATTATTATTATTATTATTATTATTATTATTATTATTATTATTATTAAATTAAACATTTATGAAAATACTTTTCTTAAATTTTCATTGTTCTGAAAGTAATAAAATGGGAATGTGAATATTGATGTGCTTGAATCTGTTTACTTAATTCAAGTTATTTAACTTAAATATATATATAATACAAATTCATAGCAGAGGTACATATTTGTATATATTTCTAGGTTTCAGAACTTCAGAATCGGGGCTACCAGATGTTAATGGTGACCAGTGGTGCCGTTGCATTTGGGAAACAAAAACTGCGCCACGAGATAATGATGTCCATGAGCATGCGCCAGACGCTGTCAGCTAGGGAAAATGGGAAGGTAGGGAAAAAACTGCAGAGGATGTGAAAAACATTCCAAATTCATCAGTAATATTGTTCGGAGATTTTTATTTGTATGCAAGCAAAACATTTATGAAGCTTTTATGCTAGCTAACAGTCGACCTGTCAGACGTCAGACTGAGTAAATGTTACTGATTGAATGCTACGTTGTATAAATGTTTGTCTTGTGTACTCTTAATGATCTTTGGACCATATCTACAGTTAATAAATATTTTTGTTCAGCAATAATATTACGTTGAATTTATTCAAATTAATGTTTCACCTTGATTTAGCCTGTATTTAGGGCTTTGGTTAGACGTTCAAAGTTCTTTGGGGTTTTTTATTGATATTTAAGGGCAATTTGTGGCTTATCCTGTCATGAATGTTTACATATGTTGACTTATTTGTCAAGTGGCTAGATAGTGGAGACAAGATTTAGATAAACATAAACATATTGATATGTTGTAGGAATGCTTATTGAGGTGACAACGTTGTTTATTTTAATGTTTGTGCTATAAGATACAAATTTTATGATATGTCTTTTTCAGCATTATTAATTATTGAATGTTTTGTATTCTTATTAAGAAATCTATCCATTTCATGCTGCATCAAATACTGAAAGACTTTTGTCTATTTGTTTTTATTTCAATCTCCAGCAAGGACGCCCAATTTTAGAGCCACGGGCGTGCGCAGCGGCGGGCCAGAGCGGTCTCATGTCCTTGTATGAGGCCATGTTTTTACAGTATGGCGTCAGAATAGCTCAGGTACATTGCATGTTTCAAGGACAGGGAGACAGCAGATGATACACAACGGAGCAAAATATCTGACTAAAATTGATACAGGATTTCAGAAAAATTGAATGAATTTTCCTAACAGACAACCTCATTTTGCATCAAAAATATTTCATTTGGTCAGGAATGAAACCCTGAATTAAATTTGATGTCGTATTTTGCTCTGGTGATTTTATTGTGGTTGCAGGAATTTTTGGCATTTGAGGATGCATGCAGTCCTTTTACTTTATTTAAGTTATTTATTTTTTTATTTATGTTGGATAGATGGGTCATATATGGGAACCTTGTATTCATAGACTTATGTTCTCTTTTCTGTATTCTATCTGATGAACATCCCTGTTTCAAATTTCATTGCTGACATGTTTCACGTCAACATCTGCTGAGTTGTACTGTGAATTTCACAATCAGAAGCAGGCCATCTTGTTGACATCATTTTGCCAGCTTGGAGATAATCTTATCTTTACCAGACCCGATAGATATCATGTTTATAAATCTATAAACCATTATTATGGTAAAAAGAAAACACATACAACATTTTTTTTTTCAAGTTTGAATCAGATGTCTGATATTATTCCTGACTATTTATGGGTTCAAGCTGTCCCCAGATACCAGAGCAATGGCTACCCAGGCATTTCTGTCTACTTTTTTACAACCCCAAATTGTGTCTGAAAATTGCATTGTTAACCTTGGTAACAAGTGTTTTATCTGTTAGCAGACCTTCCAAAATGGGCCCCACCAGTGATCATAACAGAAACATCTAAAGTTTTGTTGAATACACTTTTTACTGTCCAAATCCTATATATAGGACATTCTGAAACTCAAAAAGTAGAATGAACATTTGTTATTCAGTATGATGAAGTCATATGATATGATATATGTTGGTAAAGGTCAGAGTTTTGGAGCAGATAAATACTCTACCAGTTGCCAACACTTGCATACAGAAGAAACATTGCTGGAAATGTCTCCCAAATATGACCTATTCTACTAACATCCCTTAGTTTCAGTTCTCATCTTTCTTTATTTACTCTGCTTTTAGTTTGTAGTTTTTCTCTTTTTTTAACTGTATTGTCTGTTCAGGGAGAGTTGACAGGGCCTAGTAGTCATGCCTTCTCTGCCTGTGGTATGGGTGGATTAATGGCACTGTACAATCAGTTGTTTTCACAGTATGCCATCAAAACTGCACAGGTGATTATTAACAAACCCACCAAGTTTTTTTTCCACATTGTTTCTTAAATGTTATTATAAAGTCATGCCACTAAATTATTATATTATTGACTATATAGTAGCATAGAGTGAATTCGGTTTGTATGAATGAATGTACACTACTTAAAATTGAAGTTGTTTTGATTATTATGTTTTTTTTTTGCCTTGGGATTTTTTTTTCAATTAAAAATGCAACAGCACATTCAGTACTGGTAAGCTTTTCAAACTTTGTATAATCTCCTGAACCAGCATATTTAAAATCAACAGTATTTTAACAAGGTCTTTATCTTTTTATGCTAGTTGTATTAACTGACTGCTGTCACTTTTGCACATCAGTGGTGTTAACTTTTATTGTTTTCTTTTAACACTGACTAACTGTTTATTATTTGTTTCTAAATGATGTTGATAAATTCCAAAGATAATAGTCTGTTAATTTTTTATTAGCAATGCATTAATTTGTATACATCAAATAGATCATTTAATGGCTAATATGGGTGTGCATGTTTCATTTAAAGTTAAGTTACCTTTTTCTCTAAATTTTTCAAAACTTTTACATTGGAGAAAGTTGCTTTTACTTATTAAGTATATCGACATCTAACAAATATGTTTTATGATAAGACATAAAAACATGTTAAGTATAATTCTTTTTGTTTATGATGTACAGGAATAACTTATGCATTCCAGGTTTTAGTCACAAAACCAGACTTCACTAATGATGAGAGTAGAAAGAACTTACGGGGCACCTTGCAGGAACTCCTAAAACTGAATATTATTCCTATATTAAATGCTAATGATGCAGTAGCTCCACCACCAGAGGCAGACAAAGACCTAGCTGGGGTGAGTTTTTTTCCACTGTATCACTTTGTGACCATTATATTTTAACCAATTATGAGTCAAGCTAAAAAATGTGCATTTTCATTCATTTATGTTAAATGTCAAATTCCATAAGAAGTTGAGAAATCGGAAAAAAACTTTTTATAACACATATCCCAATGCCAGACACCCAATTGAGACTGTAGATATTTCATCTCTGATTCTCAAGTCTTTTTTAAATGCATTTAGTTATCAAGATTAAAATGTTTTAATCTACAAGATAAGGTTGGTTATTTTGTAAAGCTGTCAATGCTCTAACCCTTCGTCTACCATTTCACCCCTTTGTTGCTATTCAGGTGATCAGTGTCAGTGACAATGACAGTCTGGCTGCCAGGCTGGCCGTAGAAACAGATTCTGACTTGCTGATCTTAATGTCAGATGTGAATGGTATCTACACGTCTCCTCCTGGCACTGAGGGGTCTCGTCTCCTTCACACCTATTCCCCAAAGACAGACAGTGTGAATGTGGTGTTTGGGGGCAAGTCCAGAGTAGGACTGGGAGGAATGGAGTCCAAGGTAAATAACAGGAAGGGAAATGTGCTTCATTTAAAAAAGTAGACCGAAGTGACTATTACGTACCTTAGAATAGATAGAGTGAATGTTATGTATGGTGACAAAATGAGAAGTTGATAAAAGAAATGACCCCACTAAGAAAGGTCAACTCAATTTTTATGTTGATGGCCACTTTAATTTCTTGACCAAAATGTGAGAGGAATGAACTACATTTTGGTTGAGGAGCATGTGCTAGGTGAGAACAGGTAGGATGTGCTGATGGAGAAAATGTAAAATGTGCTAGGTGAGAACAGGTAGGATGTGCTGATGGAGAAAATGTAAAATGTGCTAGGTGAGAACAGGTAGGATGTGCTGATGGAGAAAATGTAAAATGTGCTAGGTGAGAACATTTTGAGATGGATTGTGTAGTTGTGACAGTTACCTAACTATTTGTAGGTGAAGGCAGCCACATGGTGCCTGGGTCATGATGTAGGCGTGGTCATCTGTAATGGTACTGAGGAGAGTGCAATCCTGAACATTGTTGATGGGAAGAAAGTGGGCACCATGTTTACAGACGCTATGGTAGAGGGGCCTGCTGTGGAAATACAAGCAATGAAAGGTAAGGGGATTTTGTTCCACTTTTATACAGTTATACATTGGTGAAAGTTTTAAGGATTATGCCTGATTTCAGGACTTTCAATCTTCATTTTGATCATTTTTTTCCATAAGGTCTGCAAGCTATGTTTTAAGGATTTTCAGTTTTTACAAATTTCACCGATGTACTACATATATGGAGTTGTGTGGCAACAAGAAGGCTATGAGCGATTCAGTATGCTTCAACCTCTGAATGGTCAATTTTAAAGCAGCTGGATAGTTTTGATGCTGCGTCAACAAGGCTTTCCCCTGAGAATGACTCAGTTATCATTTGGATGGCCGGTTTGTCCTTCTCCCTTGGGTGACCTTTTTTTTTACATATCATTATATGTGGTAGTAAAATCATGGTCTCTCAAAATCAAGCAGGCTTTTTTGGTCCTCATCTTAACATATAAGTTGTATACTTCCATGTTCAAAATTAATGTGTGAGGCTAAAAATTCCTCTTTCAACCTGATATATATGTTTGACCATAATTTGTATTTATTGTTCTAGATTTATGATTATTGTTTTTTTTTTTAAGGCAATAAGTATTATAGTTTAATTTTTTTAACAGTTATAACATTATGCATTATATTCGGTTGTCAAATTTTAGTTACAATTCAGTCTTTTGTTTCTTTCTTTGTTCTGCTTCAATTTCCTCTGGAATTGTATGCATCCACAACTTCATCCTCTCTGGATGTAGATCATACTCCATCTTAGTTTGTTTGCCGATGTCTATGTAGCCCTTCTTGTCCTTGGTGAACTCCTCCCAGCTTGCCACACCCTCTAGTGGACTTCCTTTGTTTGGATTTCTGAAAAAATTGTAAATTTGTTTCAATTCTTGTTTCTTATTTTAGTTATTGTTATTCATTTTTATTCACAATGACATACAATATTTCTTGGATAAAATATTAGATAATTTAATGTAGTAGTTCAAGTTTATTCATCAATTAATTGGAATGTGCTGTTATTTTTTACAGTATTTTTATATTTAAAAAAATCCAATTATTGTGCATAAAATATAAGATCTTGATTACCCTGTTTTTGCAAAGTTGGTCCAGAGTGTCATCACAGTATTGGCAGCATTTTGATCCTCTTCATTCCAGTCAAATTCAACACCTTCTTTAACAATATTTGGCCCAAAAACTAGTGGTAAGTCATCCCCATGTGTGGCACACTTGGCCCAGGTTGGAAGAGTAATGCCAACATAGTAGTCAGTAAAGCTTTTGCCACTCAGAACATGACTGATGATATAGGAGTAAGTAGCAGATTTTCGGGTACTACTTAATTTCGATCTCAAATGAGCCAGGCATGATTTCATGACTTGTTGAAGCATCAGGAAATCGGAGAAAAAATCCCGTGCAGCAATGGCATTTTCAATGGGGTCAACTTTGTGGGTGTACATGTCATGAATATACTTTTTTACTCTTTCTAAGTTGTTTGGAAATAAGGCTTTCAGAAACGGAAGTACCAGTTTTGTGTTTATGATATCTTCCGGTATTCCAGATGTTATGTTGTACCCATCTTTCTCATGCGTCATGGCTGCCAAATAAAGCATGTCATTACCTTCATCTGCTAATGCACCTGCCATCCAATCAACTTTACTGAAAGCTTCGTCTATTTCTGGATTGCTTTTGGATTTGGAAGCCGAAAAATATTCCTGTGCACCATAAGGCACAAAGTCTCCATCTTCTACTGGAGCAAAAGGCATGATGCCATATTCCTCGGTGTTGTTTGAAATGCCAGGTGTTAATAGCGCAGCAGATGCATGAAGAAGATCCTGCACAGATGCCAAACGTAAGCAGTTAACCAATCTCAGAGTGTCACTGAAATCTTTGTTGTCTGAACCACTGCAATTCAGTTTGTGACCCAAATTCCTGGCTAATTGAAGAGGTTTCCTTGAGAAAGCAAATCCACTGCTGAAAGCAGACGGACTCTGGCTGATGGCACGTTTGACCAATCCAATGTTATATTTAGTTATCGCTTGATGCAGCACGCTAGAACCACCAGCAGATTCACCAAATATGGTAATGCTTTCTGGATCACCACCAAATGTTGAGATGTGCTCTTTGACCCATTTTAAAGCCTCATGCTGATCCCACAGTCCAAAATTTCCTGGGGCATTTTCATCCAGTGTTGATAAAAATCCAAAAATATGCAACCTATAGTTGATGGTGACACAAATAACATCACCGTGTAAAGCCAATTCTTGGCATGGGGTTGCCATCCCCTGACCCATGGAGTACCCACCACCATGAATCCACACCATTACTGCTTTGGGTGCCTTATTTTCAGATACAGGGACGTACACATTAAGAGTAAGGCAATCCTCTGAAATATCAGTGTGAAGTAATATCTCCTTGAGTCCAGGAAAGAAAATCTGGGTACATGAAGGCCCATATTCAGTAGCATCTATGATGCGTGTCCATGGCTTCTTGGGTACAGGATTTCGGAAGCGTAGATGTCCAAGAGGAGGCTCTGCAAATGGAACCCCGAGATAGACATCTATGTTCTTTCCATGAACTGTTTGCGTCTTTCCGCGAAGTCTACCCAGCTTTGTTTCCAGAATCTCCGCATGACTAGTGGCAATCATAAACAACACAGCTAAAATACAGGCAACCATTGTAGAACAGCAAACAACTTTGACACCCATTTCATGAGCTGTGATGGCAGCTAGTGTTCACCTTTGTTCTGATAACATAGATTTGACAGTGTCTGTCTTAAAAACCTTGTATGGTCTCTTGTTTTTCTCTCACTCAATCCTCAGGTTGCTTTTTCGTGAGGTATTATGAAATTAACAAGCAGTAAGAAAGCAGCTTAAAATTAGTTATTACCTTTTAGTTGTTGTGATAAATATGACCCAGCACCCCTTCCTGCCCTGTACCCTAGGCTCATACTATCATGCAAGTAGCAAGTACAAGTTCATATTTATCAGCTCTTTTATCTGGGGCTGATTCAATATGTCCTGACCTACTTGTTTGCTTTTTAGGCATTAGCTCATTCAGAAAGCAAACACTTTACTTGTATATGTAGGTCATTTGAAAATGTGAGGCACATAAGTGACTGACCCATTAATATTGTGTAATATTTGTGTATCTGTTTTATATCACTTTTTGATTAAAGTTGATTTCATTCTTAATTGGATGGTTCTGCAGTAAAAGACAATAATAAGGCAGAACAAATTATTAGACAAGTCAGAATAATGCAAATCTTACACAAAGTGTTTGCATCATTAATATGATTCAAATGCTCACTTTTTGTGTAATGACCAATATAAGACACAATTGTTTTTTTTTTTGTTTTTTTTTTTTTTTGTTTGTTTTTCCTAATTCAACTTTTTCAGTCTCTTTGGGAATTGTGTTTGTTCATAACTTCATGCTAACTGGAAGCAGATCCATAGCCATCTTGGATTTTTATGCCTCTTTTGCTTTGCTGACACCACACCCTGCAAGGAACAACCAATTTTTGGGGGCTGCTGAAGAGAAAGAGTATTGGTGTCAAATTAATAAAATTAATATTTATTTTAACAATTTGACTAAGTTTTAAGCAATTATAATATGGCACTTATTTGATTAACATTATTATTCCAGCAAGAGAAGGTTGCTATGCCTTGCAAGCACTAAGCTCTGAAAAAAGGGCGGACATCATCAACAGTTTGGCAGGTTTACTGATCGACAGATCCACTGAAATACTAGCAGCCAATAGGAAGGATGTGGATGCAGCTAAAGCTGCTGGTAGGTGGAGAAATTATGGGTAGAACGTCGGTTGGACTTATATATTTGTTTCATAAGGAATTTCTCTCTCCAAGATAATTTGATCGTAGTGTTTTACTTGCTTCTTTTTCAGTAGTAGATAGATGGCATAGTTCTCAAGATTTCTCAAACCTTACTCTAAACCAGTTCAAGATTTAAAGAGTGTAAATGAAGGTTGTATTAATGTCCTCTTTTCAGGACTTCTCCCAGTGAACATCTCCCGTCTGATCCTAACCCAGGCAAAGTTACAGAATCTATCAGGCGGCCTGCGACAGATAGCTGCCACATCCCATACTAACATTGGCCGCGTCTTGCGCCATACCAAGGTGGCCGAGGGAATGGACCTTACACAAGTCACTGTACCTATAGGTGTACTGCTAGTCATATTTGAGTCCAGACCAGATGCTTTACCACAGGTTTGTATGGATTACGTCTTAAAACTTTTAATATAAAATGATCATTTTTTTAAAAAGAAATTAATTTTTGCCTCATCAGTGTGCAAGACAAATTTGAATGTTTCTAATTGATTGATATAATTTTTCGTCTAGGTTGCTGCCCTCTCCATTGCCACCGGCAATGGTTTACTACTGAAGGGAGGCAAGGAAGCATATCACAGTAATAAAATACTTCATGAGCTTGTAGAAGAGGCTCTAGCCCCACATGTCCCAAAAGATACTGTGAGCTTGGTGGGTATACTTTTCAGTTAAATATTAATAAACTTTTGAAAACTATCACTTAAGATTTCATGTTATTTTAGACGTTAAGATGCTGTATGGTTAGTGTACAGCCATGCTAATTTGTGGAGGTTTATTTATGAACACCAGTTTATTGACAAGTTGTCTCACTCCGTAGGTCAGTCGACGAGAAGACATCACTGACTTACTGCAGATGGATGAATACATTGACCTGGTGATTCCTAGAGGTTCCAAGGAACTGGTTTCTAAGATACAGCAGGAGAGTAAAGGCATTCCTGTCCTCGGCCACAGCGAGGGCGTCTGTCATGTGTTTGTGGATAAAGACGCAGACCTGGAAGCAGCTATTAAAATAGGTCAGTAGTTATAAAAAATATGGAACTGTGGTGTGCATCTGATTTTGGTACACTTTTCACTTTTTTGGCCTAAACAAGATGAAAGGAAAATATTGCATAGCCTGAAATATATTATTAAAATGTAAAAACTTATTTTCAATGATAATCATACATAGTTTATATTACTGCCATTCTGCCCAAGGGCGAAGGATGATAATGATGATATATTATTGATAATTCTTTGGAAATCAAGAAAGATAACTAAATAAACAGATATAGTGCTGTCTACTTGTTTTTATCCTATGGTGTAGGCATTCCTTTAGATTAATGACAATGAAAATACAAGCTGATTCAGTAGGCATATATGGCAAATACAGCACAAACAGCAATCACAAAGCAGTTTCTTACTTGCAGTAGTGAAAGTCTCTTTATTGGGTTCAGAAAGTTATATTTGATGTACTTTCAGTGGTTGATGCCAAATGTGACTACCCTGCAGCCTGCAATGCCATGGAAACACTTCTCATACATCACGATCACTTACGAACTGGTTTCTTCGACCATGTGTGTGACATTTTGCGAAAGGAAAATGTAGGTTTTTATTCTTTAGTTCAGTTGTTACGTATATCAAAAACATAAAGTCTGCAAGTTAACCTGAAGTGAAAAAAGTTTAAACATTAAAACGTGAAATACAAGAAAAGCAAAAATTCAGAATATTTTTCAAGTTATGGCAAAAATCCTGATGATTTTTCAGGTGAAGATTCTAGGAGGACCCAGATTGCTGAGTCATCTCAAGTTTGGCCCTGTGCCAGCATCATCCATGAGGACAGAGTATGGCGACCTGCAGTGTACCATTGAGGTGGTGGAAAATGTGGAGGATGCTGTGGATCACATCAACAAATATGGCAGCTCACATACAGATGTGATTGTAACTAGAAATGGTGTGTTTATTTGGGATGTTATCAAATTTCTATTGTTGTGTGTCACGTGTAAATTTAGCATTGAATACTTTTATTCAATTTGGACCCTGAAATTTCAGTTTGAAAGCTTCTTCAACTTTGAAATGATTTATGAAGATTTTCTTGTTAGGGAATCTGGTGTACCTTGTAGAAAGCAACATACCAAATGTATTTTTTACAAGGCCTCGTTTGCTGAAATATTCGGAGTTACTGTAATATATGCAGTGTAGACTAAAATAACTTTCAGTACTCAGCTGTAGTGAAGAGATCATGGCCTTTGCTGTGGTGTCAGACCAGTCAGTGTGGCATGGTATTAACTGTGTGTTATTATTCCAGCTGAGGCAGCAGAGACATTCCTACAGAAGGTGGACAGTGCCTGCGTGTTCCATAATGCCAGTACCAGGTTTGCAGATGGATACAGGTTTGGACTAGGTGAGAATTCAAGACTTATCTATTAAGACAGTAGGGTCTGTAGATATTTCTAGGATCCAGTTTTTTATCATGTGTCCACCAGGTCTGTTTTGGGATGGTCAAACACACTAACTCAAAGATTTTCAGTAGGCCTTTTCACTCCACACCAATATGATTACTCTTTGGGTTCACACCACAAAAATTTTGTTTTATAATCTTTATGAATTTTTTCGACATGGAAACCATTTAAATAGTTATACATTTGAAATAACAATTACATAAGCCTATTTATATTTTTTAGGTGCAGAGGTTGGTATCAGTACAGGCCGTATCCATGCCAGGGGCCCAGTGGGCGTGGAGGGCCTGTTGACCACAAAATGGATTCTAAAGGGATCTGGAAACACCGTTGCCGAATTTACCGCAGGCGATATGAAATATCTACATGAACAGCTGCCTATTGACGACATTTTGCATAGCAGCAGTTGATTTATGTCGTGCATGCTCAAGAAGTGTCAAATTTCTAAATTATGAACAAAAAAAAGACCAATTATTTATTTTGTTTATTGAATTATATGTCATTGAATGCATTTTTGTGTTCCACCATCTTGTGGAATATTCTGTGCAATGGATAGGAAGTCCATGGGTCTGATTGATTACTGAAGGAACAGTACCATTAAAGATTTATTTGTTGTAGCAACAACAGGGTAGAATTTATCATTGGTAATGAATTTTTCATTTATAGTGATGATAGTATTGAAAGGTGTACTTAAAAGTATTTTAGTAAAATTGCTTCAACTTTTAAAGATAGGGCTGGGCAAAAGCTTCTCCAGTCAATCATGAATTCACACAAATTATAAAAGTGAAGCTGGCAGTAATAAATATATTTATTCATACATCTCATGCAATTTTCTACAAAAACTACAGACAGCTGTACATGTAAAATGTTAATAAGATTCCTTTACAAAAAAAAGCACCGAATACCATTTTTTGAAGCAAAATCGTATGACTAGAACGTCAACCAGGCAGGTTTGTAGCAAATTGACATACGTACTGGTAACTACTGTATAATGCATGGTACTTATAAAAATGATTCTTCACTCGTGATTTATGTAAGCATCTTAAATCAACTACATGTATAAGTTGCATGGTTTTACTAGCCTTTCACTGTATGCAGATTAAGGCTTCGTTCACATGGAATGTCTATTTTCTAAAAATCTATTTTCTATTCACGGTATGTCTTATGATCACGGTCTGTGCCCTTAATATCCCGCCGCGTAATTACTGGCAGCGCGAGCCAGTTACTATAAGTAACTGGCTCGCGCTGCCAGTAATTACGCGGCGGGATATTCAGGGCACAGACCGTGATCATAAGACATACCGTGAATAGAAAATAGAATTTAGAAAATAGACATTGCATGTGAATGAAGCCTAACTTGAACAGTAAATGTTATTCCAACTTCCAGTGGAAGTACAAATGCATAGATGTACAATTTGTACCAGCAAATCTCATTAAAACATGCCTGTTTATTCTACCAATGTACATATTCTTCTGCATAAACAAATATATTCCATCATTGCTGAGTATTGCATAGGCCCTCATAGAACTGACTGGCAGAAAGCTGGGGACTGCCCAGGTTTCTGCTTCATGGATATTTTAACCACAATTTAAATATTTTAATTCAGACTACATACATAATACAAATTCATCATAAACTCAATATGGACTAGTACTATAAAATTTTATGTTGTTATATGGATACTCCTTTGTTATATGGATATTTCCTTCACTGGCATTTCATATGCCATACCTGAAAACATGCACTTCTACCTACATGTCAAAATAGAAAGTTTTTGTATTGTTTCTAAGTATTCTTAGGTCAAAAGGCAAGGACGGAAAAGGTTAATTTCATGGAACTTTGAATAAATATTTGGCACTTGAATATGAGGAAATTTCTTTGGTAGGAATATGAAAAATCTATTAGCTCCATCTTCATAATATCCCTGTAATTTGGCCAGTACATACTTAGTCACTGCACCTGTTTTTTTTAATCATTTGACAGGATCTTTATTCTAGTTTTTGTCCAAAGCTGTTTTAATTCTTTTCACCTCGATTAATTCTGAAAGGGTGAGTACCCTAACATCTTCCAACCACACAATAATAAATCTATCATCATGACAACATTCTGGGCATGTCAACCACAAGGTGAACTGAAAGCCCAACAGTTTGTTTTCAGTAATCACTTGTTGAGGAAATCAATGGAAGCTCTGACACACTTTCCTGTCGCAACATCCAGAGCGCTAACTTTGATTTCTGTGTCCCCAAACTGCATCCTCGTCTGCAGTTCGCGCCTCTTTGGCAAGTCCTGATAGTTGTCGTCTGACAAATCCAAAACCAGCTGTCCACACTTCTTCACACTTTTGTCAGTGATAAATTTAACGTCAGGGCGATCACTGCAGTAAATGTTAATAATGCTGACCTTTTGCCCAGCCTTTGCAGGGGTGTAACTCCGCAGGGCAGAGTCCCCTAGCGCCACTGCCTGGTCAATGTCCACAAACTTGTCAAAGACATCTGTGCACCAGTCAGCACCATCTTTGGTAATTTTCTTGGATTTGGGATGTTTTCCTGGTTGAAAGCGGTTGAGCACACCAATTCCATACACCATACGTGAACGTCGCACTTGTACTACAGTGGGATCCAGACCAAATAAAACAGCACCTAGAATGTGGAAATTTTATAAATTCTGTAGCTTTTAAAAATAAGAAATCTTATCATAGAACTTATGTATGCTAATGCAGGAAGCATTAATATTATAAAGATACATGATCTCTCTATATGCCCTCCAAACAGCCACCCTTTTTTTTTTTTCATTTTACATTGGAAAGTTTCAACATTATGCCATTTCTTACTAACCACAATGGTTTTTGTCTTATAAACACTATATAATTATCATTGTATCATTTACCTTTGAGTATAGTCAGTCCCACTTCTTGAGGTATGATCACTTTGAGAAGATGTCCAAACTCTCGTCTGATATCTTGCTGCAACATGGGAGATTCTGCAAAGCCTCCGACCAGAAACAGGTACTTGACGTCTGCAATAATAACAAATTTTTAAAAATTTCCCTTCCTTCCAAAACAACATAAAAACATATCTAATCCATACATAAATCAGAACTGTATCTGCCAGATATCTTGGTAATTTGAAGTACTCATCCCTTATAGTCTTTACATGAATATATCATTATTATGCTACACCGGTCTGTGCATGTAAAAATCACAAATTAAAAAGTACAAGTTTTGAAAAAAAATAATAATGTGAAAAGGCTCTTTTTAAATCTCGACCTTACTTTATTCAGACACTAATCCAGAAATTCAGCAAGACAGACTTTAATCTTTTATTATATCCTTACTACAACTGGATTGGCCTGTATTTTAGCAAGACTTTAACAAAACGGTGATCCCATTTTCTAGTTACTGTAGTACCAAAATATGTGCATGGCTTTTGCTTAGCTTTGGAAATATGAACAGACACTGGTGACGGACAATTTGTACAGATACAACTTTATATCTGAGCATAAAAGAGACAACTACCAACCATCACAGCAAAGCTCCATTTTTTTTCTTTCAATGGCCACAAAATTACGCAATATATTAATTAATACCTTTCACATTTGGATGATTCAACACATCTCCCACGGCTTGCTTGATTCTCTCCAGAGTTGGGAAGAACAACCTCCTCATGGCCTCTGGTGACAGGCGGAGGAAACCCTGCGTAGACCACCTGATTTCTTTATCACCATATTTACGTATTGCATTCTCTACCTGATTTCCCTGCAATAAACAACATAGACGGCTGAACCAAATACATGTACCACAACATGGCAGAGATACAGAACATAGAGATACAGATCACAAACCACCTTCTGGTTGTGTTTATACATTTTTAAATGTGTTTAATATTAGATCTTATTCAATACACTGATGCACAATTCTCAATCAATTATATATAAATATAATCTTAAAACAGGAAGAATTTGTAAAATTCCATAAATAACATACTTATATTAAATATGTGAAGTGAAGTGTTCATTTTCTAACTGAATTTATAAAGAAAACAATAGTGCATGCAACATGGCATTCCACATTAACATTCCTTATATGTTACTATCAGAAATACAAACTGGCAAGTACATTTTGTTCTTCTGCACTACACAATAAACAGTGATAAAAAGCGCAGTCAACGTTAATATACAAATATGTACTCAAATTGATTAAAAATGCTTCCGTTGATTTTTAATTTCATTTCAAGAAAATTATGTGAAAATCAATTCAGCACAACTAGAAAATCAAAGTACAAAAAAACTTAAATCAGCAATTTATTAGCCTCAAGCTTGTTTTTACACTGCAAACTTGAACACCAAGAGACCAGATAATGGCCAATTTGAAACTCACAACATCAGATATCATGATAAATATTTCACAAAAGTGGCAGCTCTGTTTCACGGTTCACTCTGCCCAGCTTTACAGTCAGTTACTGTTGAATTGTTGGTGAAGACCCTTCTCCCATTTCTACTTCACTATCACAGTTAGCACAGCAAAACAAAATCAAAAACTACCAAAACCACTACAAGACATGTCACTACAGGTCACCTACCTTCCAAGTACCTCCTCTGGATAAAGATGGTGACTGACAAAGAATAGATATAGATTTCAAGTTGTCATAAAATTATGAAGAAAAAAAACTGATTTAGCAATGCAATTTGAAATGCTTTTTTTTTTTTTTTACCAACACTTTTAAGGCTAATCATTTTAACAAACTGCTATTTCATTTACTATTTCTATGGATAAAAACAGTTGAAAACACACTTTCAAGTATTTTTTTCAAGTTTCCAGTCAACTTGCTAAGAAAATGCAGTTTGTCATTGTGCTGTATAAGCATGTACCTGAAAATTTTCTAGGAATATATCTAAATAAAAATGTATTTGCCAGTTGCATTTTTCCCCAAAACCACTTAGCACGAAAGTTGTAAAAATTAAGTTATTCAGATTAAAAACATCAAATCCAGAGAGGCTGAATTAATAGTTATAATTAAATGACCAACACCGTTTGCAGTGAAATAGGTACCAACCTTGTATTTCTTGTAGTAGTCTATAAAAGAAAATGGCAAGGAAACATTGAGGTGATTCCCTCTGAAAGGGTTGGCAGCTCGTTTGCGAGATTCAAATGCTATTGTCAGATCCACATAGCCAGCAGGCCGCTTTAGTTTGAACGCCTGTAAGTAATCTGCTCCAAATATGTCTGCCAGCAATTTTTCAAATTCCATATCAACTCCTGAAATGGCATCAAGAATAATTGTATTAAAGTTTACAATCAATACTGGCCATTACATTTTCATATAAAAATGGTGAAAAAAATGTACAGTTCCTAAAATAGTTTATCATAATACTACCTGGCTAAATGCAGCAAAGAATTCTTTACCCCAAGGCTTAACACTTTCCAATTAGGCTAAAGAAATATAAAATATATTTCATTATTCATTCACCTAAAAATTTCAATTCATCAATTATTTTAGATTGCCGAAAATTCCTTTAAAACCAAGCCCAGAAATGATGAGCGAGCCCTACACTAAGAGCATGTCTTTACCTATGGAACCATGTGGCCCCCCTGTAGCTTTGTACAGTTCTTTAAGTCCACCTCCATGAAGATCCATCTCATGCACCGTGATGTCCACAGTACCACCGCCACAGTCCACCACCATGTAGCGTGTACCTGGAGAGAATACAGTTATAGCAATTTATATTAACTGACATATAAAAGAAAGAATTTAATTGGCATAACAGTGAAGTTGATATTTTAGGCATGAGGTATTTTAAGACTAACCAAGTATGAGGTCATATCAAGATGCAAATATACTAACAAGAAGCAGAAGCTTTCCTTTTGCAGTCTTTAGCCATTTTGCAGAAAACTACAAAATATACTTTTCTAGAAACAAGGTACTTGCATATTCAACCTAATTTAAATAATCTACAAAATGCTTCATAGTTTCCTACAAGTCAGCTAATTAAAATACATGAGAAAGGAAAGAAAAACAATATTAAATAGCGATACATAGGTATAAATCATGCTATGGAGGCTAGTAGTAAACAACCATGCATAATTTTACATTGCAAAAGTTCTAATTCACTACTCTATCATAATTGGCAATATGTATACATATATTTCTATACGCCATGTTATTCATTCAGACCCAACTACAAATATTCAGCATTTCTTCTAATCAGATCACTTATGCCAATAATTTATGGCTCCAATGATGTAAAATGCATTGGTGGCTTCTCTACCACAATGTGAAATCCTGTGCATCACAATGTGAAACCTCATGTGCCACAATGTGAAAAGGAGATAAACAAACCTCTTATAATGGCTTCCACCTCTTCATCATGCTCTAGTGGGAGGTTGGGCCTACATGTTTTGTAGTAATACGAGTCTGAAATCATACATATTTTTCTTTAAGTAAAAGGCTACCAAATATATATTTCTGCATTACAGTGAAATAGTATACTTCTTTATTGGCCTGTAAGATAAAGACATTTTGTGAAATAAGGAGTCTAAAATCACAAAATTCTTTTCTCAAGTCATGTAAAGGGAGACAGCTTTAATTTCATGAAAAAAATGAATTTATGATTTTATCTTCTAAAAGGTTCATTTGGGTTTTTCTCTATAAGCTGCTTGAGACACTTGCAGACAAGAACACCAGTTCCACTGTACGTGGTCTTCATATTTGCTGACAGTTGCTTTTTAATGGTGTTATATTAAGGCATTAGAATTTTCATTCATAAATTTCATGGCATAAAATGCCAAGTTACAAATTTAGCAACATTACTATATTAAAAACTTAATAATAATAATCTAGGTTATACTAAACTGCCACTTTCTCTTTCCACAAAAATAAAATTGCTGGCCATATGCATGCAATTACAAAATATTCAAAAGAAATTCTATGAATATAACTATGCATTTCAATTATCTGAGTCAAAATATTTGCTGACAATGTAAAATGTGCTCTGCACAGCTGTCAACCAATGTGTCTCCACTAGGTGTCGCCACTATCTACAGGTAATTCAGTCTGAAGGTTCAACAGCAGTGGCCATCAGAATAATCAGAAAAACAAAACAATTTCCAAATGCACTGTAATGAAGACAAAATGTCACGCATGATTTGTCTTAAATTCAGAATAATCAATCTTCATCCCCACCTTTTTTAAATCCAAAATTTGAAAATCTAAGACAATTTTACATCTGTTTAGACTGACATACCTTCTTCAAACTAATTAACCTGATAAGAAGCAATTGCAACACAAACAATACAGAGACAACAAAGATACATACACCAACCAACATACATACTTTTAATTTTGTCCTAAATCTACTGCAGTGTGGCAAGCAACTTTAACTTCTACAATTTCAGTTGTCAACATTTCAGTCTTCCAAAGCCAGAAACCACCTTGCATGTTGGGTACAAGTGCTACATGGTTCATTTGTCTCATTTCACAACAAATTTGCAATGTCAACACCACAGTCACATGTGACTAAATGAAGCATGTCCATTGGCCACTGGGACGTGGTAATTACATGGATTATATGTCAGGCAAAAAGTCTCGACAGGGCTGAGATTTGAGCACCTGTCTCACTGTGGCAGGTTCCATGCAGGAAGCAACATGCTGGGTTAAGACTAAGACATGCAGCCAAAACCCCAAAATAAAAATATAATTATATATATGACTATTATTTCGTCTACTAACACATTCATGCAGAAACACAGATTGGCAATGGCTCAAATACAACAATGCCTTTCTACTTCCTGCATCTAATTAATTACTTCACAGAAACAAAATCTGCTTTTTTTTTTAAATCTCTGAAGCATCCCTTTAAAATCTACATATTTTATCACGTCAGCCTGACAGGATCAATATTTTGATACTTTAAATTCAGAACTTGATATAATATCAGCTCTGGGTTCAAAACATTAATTCCTTTTTTTCTGCAGTGAGCCAAAATGTTTCTTCTTGTCAGTCTACAACACAGAACTTACCATGTTGGAATCCATCTGCCACAGGGTCTGTATTCAGGGGTGGGGGTTCTTCTTGTCTGATGGATAGAGGGCGCTTTTCTGGTGGTACCTCGGGTGTCAACTGGTGCATGCGCAACTTGCGGCAGTAGATTGAGGCGGCCTCTGGTTCCAAGGCAATAAGGAGTTGGTCTGCATACTCTGGGGAAGATATGCCTGCCTGAAATAAACAGTATATGGAACATAACCAAATGTGTACAATTTACAGGTCTACAGTGACTTGTAATTGGAGTTCTTTGCTGTATAGATTAAATAATTGTTCAAACTTATTATCTTTGGTTAAGTTAGCTGTGTGTGTATCTTTTTCTAACAGATGAGCAGTTGAACACATCCCCCCAAAAAACAAACCAATTTTTACAAAGGTCTGTGCCTATATTGTTATACTGGTATTTCATTTGATTGATTAAGACAAAAAACTTTCTTCCAGGTTGAGGGATCATAAGCTTTTGCGAAAATTGGAGAACCATTTCTCTTCTCCACCTCCATGATACATACTACAACTATCCATACATCTTTTTGATCCTACAACACAAAAACAAATGGCCACAATTCTAGTATTTAAATATTCCCTAGGGACTGATAAGGTCAGACAGAACTTGAAATTTAGGAAACTAGTTCAGCCAAGTGTCTCCCACTGTTACAGTAAGGAATGTTCAAAGACTGAAGAGGAAATGTATGCTTAGCTTATTGTGAAGTGACTATGGCAATGTGGCACTTGAGAAGATTGAAGTATACACTACTCCATCTTGTCATCTGCTCTCTACCCTCGCAGCCGACTTGATTGCCTTACAAATGTCAAAGCAGCAGAAGGGCATCCTCTCATCTCCACTGATGCAGGGGCCCTGTCCCAATAACAGAACTGTTAAATCCTGGTGACCTGAACCAGGGAGCAAGCCAGGAGCAGGCCCGGAGACAATCACAATGTCAGCTCTCTTTTTAGCTGTGATGTTATCAAGACTCTGCAGCCCGATGTGGGTGGAGCTGAACTGGGTGACAAAGCTAGGAGTTGGTGTACACAGATAAGGCTGTTATTTCCTGCTGTTTACAGGAAACGCATACATCACTCTCAGTCATCACACTATTTTAGCTGTTGATGATCAACAAAAAAAAAAGAGATTCACCACTGTTTTGAGTTATCTTTATCCTATTTAAGGGCACAGACAAAAACATCCCTCACTGCCTTTCACTCTGTTACAGTGACTAATGTTTTTAGAATTTTTATTTCAAATTCTAGTATGATGGTACATATTTTCTATTATCATGTCATCATGTCACTGCAGTGAACAGTCTAAGTGGTTGCCTCAGTCATGTTCATATGGTTCTGGTCAGTGTAATCACACAATACGATAATCTCTTTGTGGGCATATCTGAAAAACAGGGCTCAAAATTGAAAGCATAAAAGCATCATGTGAGGGCTCGTGTGATCTATGAAGTAAAACAAAACCACACACCTTTTTTATGTTTGTTTGGGACCAGCCCATTTCGGGTCTAGGACTCTAGATAAACAGCATTCCTGACATTCTTTATGAATGGTCAATAATAAAATGGACAGAATTTGAATAAAAATCCACACCTTGATTTTTTTTACAATCAAAGGAAACTGGAAATTTCTTGCCTCCACATCTCCACCCTGGATAAATCTTTGAAGAAGCATGGAACACTGGCTTTAGAAAACTGAACCCTGGATGAACTAAATTCCTGGCACACTTCTTATCTGGTTTAAAGCAGAGGTTGTAAGCCAAAGCACTGCATAAAACCAGACCCATAAAAATCCACACGCACATTATTTTATCATACACACCCTAGTCTGAAACCATGAGCCTCAGGAATACTTTGAAGAGCAAGGATTATAATGGGAAACAACACTATCCCCACAGACATCACACCCTGAATATTTTGTGGTTTGTATCCAACCAAGAGAAACCCGACTTCAATGCATTAATAAAACATTTCATCATTACTGGGCTTTAAGGAAAGAGTAAACAGTAGGAAACAACACCATCACCACAGAGACCACACCCTGAATAATTTGGTATGTATCCAACCCAATGATACCCTGAGAACATATCATTCATTATCATAAAACACACAATATCTTGTCATTGCAGAAATGGTGTAAACACAATATGAGCCCATAATACCACCAGAATGAGAATCAGAAGTTCTCAGAACAGAAAAACACAATAGCATCAGAAGTCTTCCACCTTGCAGCCCTGCAAGCAAGGACCAGGGTGCTCAACATTCCTGGAATATTTCATCAGTGGTCAATGAGAGTCGAGCAGAAACAACAGACCACAGCTTTCTCCATTTCAAAAGTTTTTCTTAGCAAAGAATACATCTGGAGTGTACAGCAGAGAGCAGCCAACTGGGTCCAACAACCTGCATACTTCACATACTTCAAAGCTGCATGGCCAATCAACCAATATCTAGGTTTTCACAGCAAAGAACCACCCCCAGTAAAATCCAGATCACTTGACCTCACACATAAATACTAATTTAACCACTGAACTCCACATATGTTTTAAGAGGTTATACATTATGTCCAGCAGTTTCACTGATGGAAGTTTCAAAGTGCTGGCATATTCATTAACCCCATTGGTGAGGTAAATGGGATCAACGGTTATAAATGATTGGTATTTCTTGGGAAGAGGACAGATACAACATGCCAGTTTTTACTGCACTGTTAATGTTTTGATTCTGATTAAAAACTGGACGACTAGATAAACTATAAGAACAGGCACACAGACTGGGGAGAAGTAGAAAAAAACACCCTTTTTGGCCAGAAAATGCCCACTCTGAATCAAAATTTGATCTAGGATAGCTTTCAATGTGTACAATGACCCTTTAGACATACCATTAGTGTTAAATCTTGAGAAACAAAACAATACAAATGGGCACAATTCTAACAGTTGTTTGAAAGGTTTCAAATTATCAGTTTAAGTGAACAGGGATTTTTTAGCACAATGCAAACTTAAGCACCTCCCCATGGAACTAAATGTGAAAACATCCATTTACAAGATCAAGAGTGACCAAGATAAGTGACCTTCCCCAACCATATAACTATAGGATACAAGTTTTTGTCCAAAGAAGGGTGTGGCGCATGCCTGAAAACAGAAGATGGGGGCAGGGTACCGTAACCCAATCCTTCATACCCTGGATTCAGTGCTGGCACCCATCAGCAACTGAGTAGTAGTAATGGTTAAACAACTGTCTTTAGCAAGGAAGTAATCTTACACATTGTAATTGGTTAATAGCATACTCATTTAAAATTGTCATCCACCAAGGTGTATGCATATGGTGCAGTGAATAAACTATCAAACTATCACATAAGATGTACCACCATATACTTAGTTGCCTCAACCCACCAATGAGGATAAAACAACAATTCTACTAATGATACCGGGAACACCAACCTCAAGTACCTGCCTCCTACTTTAACCTCTGTTAACAACTTACCATGAGGAATGTGACAGTTTAACAAGCCAAAAAGTCTCCACCTAAACAGAGGTGGCAGGACCTGTCATCTCTGGTATATTGATTATGAAATGTTTCAGCTAGTTAAGCTGCCATATACACTTCTCATATCCTTACCAGCAATCTTATATGAGTTCAATGACAGAAAAGGTTATAAAGAGCTTCTTCTGCATCTGAAAACAGTCATAATTTTCACTTTTTTTCTAGCAACAAAACATGATAAACTTAAAATAGACTTTCTAAAAATAAAGAGTGTTTTGTGAGTATCTGCCTTTCTCATTTCAAATCAGTATAGGAATCCTCACAAAATGCAATTTTGCAAACAAACATATATTGGTATCAGACAGATAGACAAGCAATGTCATATACGTCAAGCTTTCATAAAATGGTAATCCCATTTACTACACTTTCAACTGTCAACAAATAATCTTAAATCAATAAGTTAGGATGCAACAAATGATGTCAGAGTAAAACATCAAACAGCAAGGTAGAAGTCCAATTCTTTAAGAAATTGATTTCAGATACTGACTGTTGTTAACAGTTTAGCAGTGTACCTCCTTCAATCAATAAACGTGGACCAATCTGCAGGTTATTTTCATGAACTGTATCTTACCTGTGGGCTTGTTTACAAAACACTCAGTGTATAGTCAGCTACAACTTGAAACAGTTACCTCGAGTGATCAACTGATGAAAACAACCAATCCAACCCTACTTTTCACATGATTTTTGCTATTGAGTTAAGTTCAGCAGGCATTTAGGGGGCAGCAGGCCCGCAGGCAGGGGGGTCAAAGGGGTTCAAAAAAACCACCCTGGTAAATTGCCAGCTGTAGACCAAAGATGAAGATGTAAAAAAATTCATGCTTGCTGAACATTTTTGCCTCTCTTTGCAGTTATCACTACAACAATATCCACAGCCAAATAACAAACCCAACACACTGCTTGATAATCATAGTTAATTTCAGACTGTATTGTCTATTGATACACCATTAAATTTATACCTATAACCCATATAAGAAGAAAAAAAAATCAGACAATGAACTTACAGGTATGATTTTATGCCCCTTTAAAATTTGTAAAAAAAAACATAAGTTATCAACCATGTTGGTTAATTATGTTATATATTTTTGGTAAAAGGGAGCCAACTAGACAACCTGAGGCAAGGTGGGTTATCACAGATCTTATTTGAAGATTATCTTGTGTTAGAAGATATTTTGAGTAAACCAGAGTGGCCTGAGGACACCACTAACTAAAAATCTGCCCCATACCTCGTATGCTGCCTCTCTCATAAACTGCTTGGCTGGAGACTTCCATATTGCTGGCACGGTTATCACCCACCGCACGTCTTCGTTCAAGAACGTTGTCGCAGACTGGTCGCTCAGCTCTTGCAATGCATGTTCTTTGAAGAATTTCAGTGCATAGGCAAAGATGGTTAGGGCGCGGACGCTCTTCCCGTTGCTTGCTTTGAGCATGGTTGACTGGTTTAATTCCTAGAAATACACAAAAATATGTTAATATATCTCAGATATGTTATCTCAAAAGAGATAAGGAATAAGGTTGAAATAACCTCATAATTTCATATTTCAATAATCTATATTCCCAATATTGCAAAACTATTGAACATTTGAACTGATGACCCTGCCTAATTTGACATTATAAGAGTACACGACACAAAGAGAAGAAACCAGAATTTCTTCATCCCCAGTGTCTAGAAAATCTTTATATATCATCACTATGAGCATATAATTTTTGGTATTTCAGGGATTAAACAGAATATTTTGAATTAGGGCAAAATATGCAATTTCTGCCAAGGGGCCACCAAGCAGCTGTTATTACTTGGAAAAACTGTGGTGGCAGCCTTGGACATATCTCCCAACTCATTCCATTCATAACCACCCTTGTTATTCTGTTATAACAGTTTCCCCTTCTTCTGTTTGTAGAAACAACAGATGTAGGCAAATAATAAACCAAGTTCTGTGGTTGGTATAAAAATATGTGCCACAGGGGACTTTCTGAGTCTCTCCAATGGGGTAAGGACAACTTCGTGCAACAGGTACGAACTGGTCCATACTAAGACTTTACAGAAAGACAAATGGCTTGAGTTTAAAATGAAAAAAATTAATTGCCCGCCTAACCATGGGCTGTATGTACAAAAGAAATCACATTAATCCCAGTTGAGTGCAGACAGCCACAACACTATCCTGGGTTCTTGACATGAATACAGCAGGAAGAAATGCCAAATGAGATCAAATCTCGACTTTCAACTGCTTTAGGAAACCTCTGAAACCCAGGCAACTAACATAAAACATCTTTTACTATAGTTAACAGCTGAAAAAGATTTAAAAGATTTTTAAAGATATCAGGCTATCAGTTTGAAAGATAGATATTCACACGGTCACCAGCCATGCCAACAGAATGTTCATATGGTCACCATGCCAACAGAGTGTTCACCTGTTATTGTTATTTAAATGGTCATCATGCCAACAGAACATGTACATGTTCAGAGTGTCACTGTTGTTCACGTGGTCACCATGCAAACCGGGTGTTCTCATGGTAACATGCCAACAAAATGTGCACATGGTCACCAACCCAACAAATTATTTTTCACAATGTCACTATCTCCATGTCTAAATTTCACAGTAGCATGGTATTCACACAGTCACCATGGCAACTTGATATTCACAAGTTCACCATGCCAACAGGGTGTTCATTCCTATGTCATTCTAAACTGACTTGATCTACTGAGCAGACAAGCAAAAATAACACCAATGTTTGGTAACAGAAGAAGCATGCCATGTGTTAAAAAGACAGATTACATAATTTATCAACCCAAGCAAACAGAATAGCATATCACTCAAGCAAAACACATTAAATTGCCAATGTTTTTGAAATGGGTCTGTAAAAAATGCCAGAATGCAAACAATTCTCTTATTTTCTATGCAAAATGGCAATAGGATGTGAAGAATGCTCATTTTTAGGAAAGCAAAACAAAGAAAGTTTACTAAACACAAAAGGGTTGCACTCACAATTGAAAGAAAACTGTTTTATGCATTCTCTCTGCAAAATCAATTTCATTCTCTACATTGTACTCTCATGGTGGTTATTTTTTTCTTCAGACTGAAAAAAACAGCCCAATGAGAGTCAGTTAAACTAAACTTGTGCAGTAGACCCATAGGCAAGGAAGGGGTCCCTGGTGTGGGTTTCAGTAGGGGGGTGGAGTTGGAAAGAACCACCCTTTTGGTTAGTAAGGACCTACTCTGAATTAAAATTTGTTCTAGATGCTATAAAATTTCACAATCTGGGTAAAACGTCCACCTTTTCAGAATAACCTTCTCCCATTAAAAATTCAGGTTTTTGACAATGTTAAACATACACACATCCCTAGCACAGCTTGTTTCTGCAGTACTTCTTCTACTGAGTGCCCTCTATTGTTTTTTCATCAAAACATAACATGGCAAAAGTTCAGCAAACCAATATGCCACATGTGTGGTGACTTACAGCATCAAAGTGGCTTTAGTGGCATCCATCACATTTTATACAAACAACACATCCTACATCAACCCTGTCCTTTAATTTATTAGGTGCTAATTTACCGAGTATGTTCAGGAGTGAGGTTAAGTATTAATTCATTTCCCAGGTATGTGTAAGTTTAGTTTACCTAGGTGTCAGGTATACACTGGTTAACAGCATGTTTCAGTAAAAGATATCTACTTGTATGACTCAGTATCTGGCACTGCTGTGATCTCAGGTAGAACAGGGTGGAGTGGAGAAACACCTGACATAAGATTGTTTACTGCTGCAGGTGTGGTTACCTGGACAGGGTGGTAACATTACCTGTGCCAGGTGTAAACATCAACAAGCTGCACTCACGTTTCTTGAAATCAAGCAAGGGTTAATTATCATTATTTTGTCAATAATTTTATATCTTTAATGCCAAAAATTAATTCATATACAGATTTAGTCAGAGTCTTCCATGCTAGGCATATCAATCCACAACTTAGCTAGTGTAACCAAAAATATTTCCTGGGGTTATCTAAGGCTTGGGAGGAGAACTGGCAAATTTTATAATATTATTTAAAACTATATTTTGTTCTTAACTACATGTAACAATTGGACATGCAGGCATATTTTATAACGATCCTCTTTCAGTTTTTCTAATTGTCAATGTAAAATACTAGTAATGTTTTTTCAAAATATCTCAAAATGTGCTGAAGAAAAGATAATTTTCAATAAGTCTGTTTCCAGCATACAAAGTTTAAGGGTGCATTCCCAATTCAGTTCATCTGATTGTACTCAGGGAAAGTCCCAACACAGCTGGATTGATCTACACAGAACAGTTTCATTGGGAAAATGCCCTAAGAAGTTGCGTTTGTCACCTTCAGGCATACCACACACCCTCTGGCCAAATTAAACCCAGCTTTCTATTAGTAATGACATGGTTACTATTCTTTCAATTTATTAGAGTTAATTCTGAAGGACAAGTTTCAATTGTGTTGTGGTTTTACTCCTTTTAACATCTACATAGCATGACACATATTCAGAAACCCAGTAGTATGAATCATACACTAGCATTTGTTACTTCTAAGAACCCCAACCACTACAACAATAGTCTAGACATACATGTCCACATCTCAACTGTAATATCTGTGGGCCCTTTCTCAACATCATCATCATGTTGCCCTTAACCCAGCACCACACTGGGAAGAAGAGAAGATCTATCTGAGATGGGTATCACATGGAGCCAAGGGATGAGACTTTACAGCAATCTGTCTAGGGAGACCCCACTGGCTCGGAACCAGTTTTCTTGTCTGGCTTATAAAAAAAACTTACTTTCCCAGGTGGTTTTAATTATGCCCTTTCACCTTTTCACCAAAACAACATCTTCATCTGAGGTAAGCATGTGTGATGTGTTTCCTGATATTGGGTTTATTTCGTTTATTTCGAGAGTTTTCCTAGCTCATGTTACCCTGACCTCATAATGGCTCTTTTCCTGTCAACTTTCCTTGGAGGAAAGATTGATCTCTGCTCTACAAATGGGATGTTAGCTAGCTGATACAATGATAGCACTTCTACATCTAAAATACTGATTCAGGAGGGGTAAAACTTGGTTACGGCTGTAATATAGCTTTTCTTTACCGTAATATTGTTCCAGCATCTAGATGTTAGATACGATAATAGAACTTGTACATGTAAAATACTGGTCCAAGGGGTAAAACCTTGTTATAGCTTAATTAGCTTGCTCAGACTGAGATATGAGGCCAAATCCTGGACAGCTACCTCCCAGGCGGCACTTTCTTATTAAATACCAATACTTGTGCCTCTCTCCCCTGACCTTATAGCCTCAATGTTCTGTAACAGTTAGATCAGATCTCCTCACGATCACCTGCCCAGACCAGAGATCAGTGCCTGCAACTCTAGGTGGTCCACTCATGAAGCTGCCTTATTTACATGCCAGGGCAGTTCCAGTTCAGGAGAGATGAATTTGCTGCAGATATCTCAACACTTCTGACAGCAACACCTGAAGCAGTTCAGAAGGGTTACTCTCTTTTTTCACCAAGTACCAGTGCCACATCAGATTTTTATATAATGCCAAATAATAAAACCCTCATATTTTCATTTCAAAACATTTTTAAATTTTGTTCTTTGGTATAGATTATCAGTGAAACCATGTGCATTGTAAAAAGGTCTTTTTTGTATAAATGGTTGACTCTACTTCAAAACAGAACCAAACATTGGTACCCGTAAATCAACTTGTCATGCAAAATCAATTCTGCTGTCTGTACCAGTATAACAACAAGTCTGGTGTCCATACCAGTATAATAGCAAGACTGGTGTGTATACCAGAATTAATGGCAACGAGGCTGGCATCTATATCAGTATAACAACTAATTTGGTGTCTGAACCAGTATAACAACTAGACTGGTGTGTGTGCCAGAATGATAACAAGATTGGAGTCTGTACAGCAGGGTAACAGTATAACAGTAAGACTGGTGTCTGTACCAGTATAACAATAAGACTGGTGTCTATACCAGTATAACAATAAGACTGATGTCTATACCAGTATTACAATGAGACTGGTGTCTACACCAGTATAACAATAAGACTGGCATCTGTACCAGTATAACAACTAGACTGGCATCTGTGCCAGTATAACAACAAGACTGGTGTCTGTACTAATATAACAAGCCTGGTGTCAGTACCATATAACAACAAGCTGGTGTCCCTACCAGTATAACAACTAGACTGGCATCTGTGCCAGTATAACAACAAGACTGGTGTCCCTACCAGTATAACAACTAGACTGGCATCTGTGCCAGTATAACAACAAGACTGGTGTCCATACCAGTATAACAACTAGACTGGCATCTGTGCCAATATAACAAGACTGGTGTCAGTACCATATAACAAGATGGTGTCTGTACCAGACATCACTTTACATCATGTCACGTACCACTTCAACAATCGCTATATTATTTTAACACCCTTGTCAGTCCTCAAGTCAATTATCGTGGATCACCATATGAGAAGTCGATTACACTACGTTGTATACATTGCCCTACAACAAACAATGAACTTCTCACCACCTAAATGATTTCCATCTGCTGGCATCACTGCATATCAACACTTGTGATAAACAATGATAGAAGGAACAATGCTCAAATGTTGATTAGTCAGAGAATGCCATAAATGTCTTTCCAGTGATACAAGGAAGTTAACCTTGCTCTTAATGATGAATAGGTATCTGTTTTTTTCCAATCCCCAGCTACGAAGTTAGTTGGTTTTAAATCCCAGTACAAATTTACGTGCATAAAAGCCACGAAACTGATCTTTAACCTTTTCAGTCAAATGATCGAAATGATATTAATGTGGATGTTGCTTTAAGTCTTGAAAAAGACTTCTTAAATAATAAGTTACTCGGAAGTGCTAATCATTCATACTCAAGACAGCTAAACCACAGCCCAAAAACCATTTTGAAATTATTTTGTCCTTCATCCAATACACTACCTGCAGTATGTTTCCAGTAATTACATAATAATCAATTAAATGGGTTTATAATTAACAAAACCAATTAGTCCCAAATTTAACTCCTGATCAAATGTTGGAGCCAAAATGGTGCTGAATTGACAAGAAAGCTTTAAAAATTTAATTTTTTTTTTGTCAAATTGAGAAGTGATGGCATTATCAAAGATTAGTTCTCAATAATAACCCTAATTACAAAACTTTAAAAATAGATGAGACGGCAATTCTTTATTCTCTTTTCCAAAAGTATGCACGTTTTTTTGGAAAGTTTTATTGACAATGCCAAAACACTTCAAGATTGCTTAAATCTGTGTTCTTTCACATTATAATTGGGTCTAAGTCATAATTGTGCTCAGATCTTAGTCTTAATTAACTGTAAGTCAGATTGTGCCACAAACTTTGTCAAGGCCGCATCCAGTTGCTAACAACACATTACATAGCCTGTCAAATAGACAAGAAAACCAAACTGTTTATGTGTCAATTTCAACAATTCCATGGAGACTGTCATGATACTATACACACAAAGAACAGTTCAAATAACTTTACATCTGGGCTAAATGCTACAACTCAAATAGCAAGTTTCAGTTCTGGCCCCTTAGTTGACTAGAAAGAGCTAAAATTCAACCTACTGGTACATGTACATATGTATTTAGAATGCCACTGCAAACCGCACTGATATCATTTTCCTTACTTTGCCCCCTTTTTACTCAATGCTACAAATTACTATAAATATGGAGGTTTCTGAACCTGCAAAGCTTTAGAATATTTTTACTGCAGAGGCACTCTGGTCTTACATTAATTGTTCACATCCCCAGTATTAATGTGAAATTGCATCTTGGTTCATACTTTAAACCAATAATGTCCAAAATCATTCTACAGGTCAAAACACCACCACCAGCAATCAAAATATATCTCATCAGTAGGAGTTACACTCACCTCAGTGACCTTCAGCTATATTAAAGCACCTGTTGTTATTTAATTAGATCTAAATATGCATATGTAACATTCCCCATTACTCCAGTACTACTGGAATGACAGCAAGCACACCATTACAGAAAAGCTCCACCACATGAGAATAAATTTCAGACACTGCAACCTTATGCATAAATGATTCACTTCCATCAATTCAGACTACAAAGTTGAGTCCAGCAATCATTACATGTCTTACACTGATTGTTGTTGAGATGAAGAAATATCTACACATCTATCTGTGTCACAACACATGAGACATCACTCATTAATGCACAGAAAAACAGCATTTTACTCAATGAACAATAAAAAAGGGAGCCTAAAGAGAAGGAAAGTTCATGGTAGAATTGGCAGCCGATCAAAAATGCATTTTTTAATGTGTAAGGTTCTGTTTGGTTCAATACATAAATTGGGCAATAAAAATGCTCGACAGTCAAAAGAAATGGGAGTTACAGTTAGATGTCTACAAAAGCTGGATTTTCTGCACTGGGATCAACAGTGGAGAGGCCTTTGTTGGGTTTATGTGTGGTTGGCTCATACTTAGTAGATGATAAAACTACTACGATAACTTTACATGCATCTGGGGAATGCACACTATTAACAAAATGGCATAAGTTAGTGATGAACATATGAAAAAGCAATAATGTATAAACGGTAAAAACTTGAAAATTTAGTCAATCTTGAAAATTTTGTTGGAAGACAATTCTCCACCAAGGTAATGTTTTTTTACTTTGAAAATTTCATCAAACTTGAAAATGGGCCTCTCAATTATTTTGAAAAGTTTGTCACCTAATATGGCCAAGTTGGATTCAGGGATTAATTAAAAGATGTTTTCCTGAATTTTAAGTGAAGAAATTTTCAAGTGTCTACCGTAATTTTATTTAACATATGTCACCACCGTCTACAAAAAGATCTTACCGCATTGTGGTGAAGCATCATTTTGAACTTGTCAAAGTACATCCACCTCTTGGCTTCCTGTGGGTGAAGGTCATGGAAGAAATTGCGTGCAGAGTAGCCGAAGGAGTGAAATTTTCCCTCTGGAGAGAGCAGCAGACATGTCGGCGTCTTCTGGTTGATGACTCCCGCGTCTCCTCCCTCCCATTTCCTCATCATATGGATGCTGTCGGGATCCCGAGTGAAGCTGAAAGCGTAACCGCTATACGTGGTACCAAAATCTATGGCAACAACTACGAAATGCCCCTGATGGCGGACACGCTCAGATCCCGTCCCAGAATCCACAGACATGCGGTCGTGTGCCTGTATGGCACTCTCCAGGTTGTGAGGGTGGTGGACATCTGCGTTGATCTTGGCAGAGTTTGGTGTCATGGGTTTGTTTGCTGTGCTGGGGGACAAGGGTGAATTTGGCACGTCAAAGGAGTTGTGGTACCTTCCCTCTATGAAGTCCACCCCGCTGCTGGGTCGACTCCCGTCTGTAGAAGCCTGGGACCCAGGCGAGGACAACACGGGGGACACTGGGCTCAGACGAGGACGGTTTTCATCATGAACCTCATCTCCATCCACTATAATTATCTCAACTTGCTGCTTCTTTTTTTGAGTGGGCTGTATGGGTTCCTCCTTCACTGGAGTCTGCTCTCTGCTAGGGGGGTCCTCTGTAGTGGTGGGACTGCTGGCACTCTCGTTGGCCACCCCACTGTCCTCACAGCTTACTGGGGTGACACTGCGCTCTGGTGTAGACAGCGGGGCAGTACAACTGTCTTCCAGGCCTTCTGCTCCATCAACACCTCGAGTCTCCATCTCCTTCATGCACTGCATCTCTTCCATGGGGTCCACACCTTCCTGGTGCAGGGAGTCCATGTTAATCACTGGCTTGCGATGGAGACACACTGGCTCTATCTCATCTTCTATCACACTGCCACTGGCATCAGCTGAAAATAAAAAAGTTTAAGGAATATTTACAATACCTCAAAAAAATCAACTTGCAATTGATGAAAAGCAATGGGATGAAGAATGTCTGGAATAAAAAAAAGTATTAACCTAATTTCCATCTACAATTTCCCAAACTTAAGTTGGGAAAATTTTGAAAATAAAATTGCTCCTTATATTTTCTGTATAACGCCATTATTAATTTTAGCTCAAAAAGCAAACCAGGTATAATATAGCTACTGCCTCCAACTAGGATGTAATTTAAACAATGCCAACAGACGCTGTTATCTTCAGCAGGGCATGTGGTCCGTTATCAAGCAGGCTAGAAAAACAAAACCTTGCGGCTTTCAAAGCCAACACAGCAACATGTGGTCATGGACTCAAATGGAATGTCAGCATCAAACAAACTTAAACAAAAAATTACAGCCAACACCAAGATAATGAGTTAAACCAAACCAACCCGAAAAAGAGAAAGAGGGAAACGCACAGTTAAATATAAACATCCTGTGGCAGATATACTGTGCAGTCTTACAACATGGCCTTAAAAAGTTCTATTAGGTTTTTTTGTCTTTTCTTCCTGCTAATCTTAATCGAAGTCTGAAATAAAAAGAACTTTAAAGAGTCCAACTGTGCAAATGACTGGGTGTTAAGAAAATAATTAACTTACACATACAGTCAGTTTTCATTTGGTATTTCTTTGCTTTGCCATTGTTCCTCATTTTCATCATATTTTTTTCTTTGCTTTTAATCTTTTGATTATAATAACTGCTTGAGGCAAATCAGTAAATATCATGAATTTTCATATCTTAGAAAGTGTGCATGATAAATCAGATAAATCAGCAACAATCAGAGATTTTCCTGAGCCAACAACATTTCTAAACCCCATGTTGTACTTTATTGTTTAGACTTGATGTCTGCTCACTGGAAGAAAACACCGTTCCTAATCACCTGATATCAGATAGAAGTTATTTCAATACAGCCACCTGCTGGGTGAAATGCACACTCAAAGAAACAAAAAGTCCACTTCCTACAATGATTTCTGGAAGCCATTCAAGAACTTAAAATACAAGACAGTAAAAACAAACCATTTCTCAGAATCCATTACTTACTAGTAAGTCAATTATAGGTTACTACAAGCAATTCCAAACACACACAGTAGGAAAATGTAGTGCAGACTTTTTTAATGTGTTGTAAAATGGTTTTAAATCTTTGTGCACTTAACAAAAAAAAATCAGCTTTCATATTTCAAATTCCTCTTCCACTACACAAGTATCTCTCTCAATAGGGAGGGTGGCATTCTAAACCCAACATTTATGGTTCTTCTTGGTTTAATCAACAGCTTTTTCATGAGAAATGACAGATGCTGCATTCATTTCTGACACAAACAGCACATAGTAGCTACCCCATTATCTTCAAAACCACAGTTGACTTACATTTTGGTATACTCCACAAGGGTACCTTCAGACTGCCACTGTTGAAACATTGAGAACCAAAGCATTAAATCACTTTTCATGCCTTTTGTATTACGACACAAATGGGTGACTTCAGGTCATTTTTTTTAATGAGGTGCATGCTTCCTAATAACCCTCCCATTTAGGATAGGAGAAATTAGTCAGAGGGTCAAATATGGCCAACCCACTTGAATACTTCCCAACAGGTTATCTATTCAGTGTCTATTAGCGGATTAGATGGCAAGCTTTGTTGGGGATCACTATATTTGACCCTCAGACTAGTTAGTCCCCTATTCTGTATGGGGCCTTAGAGAACGATTCTGGCACACCCTCTCCCACAGAACCATGAACATGATTGATCAGCTGAACTAGCCACAGAAAAGGGAGAGGAAAGAATGCCAACTATGGCCACATATAACGGTGATCTATGGGTAAATTCTGAGCTGATCCCAGACCAGATTGCAGTTCTATGACTGGTCCACTGCATGTTCAGAGCATTCTTCAGAGAGCCTGCAATGTCATCTGGGTCCATTATTATGTATATCTAGAAAAACTCTCCCCAAGATTTTTTTAGAAGGAAAGAGATGTCAATATATCTTAAATTTAAAATGGTCAAAACATGTTTGGACTTTAAATGAAAGCGAGATAAGATTGCAACTCAATAAATCTTATCCAGCCCTCTCCATAATAACCAATAGTCATATCCAGTGCCTTATCTTCATGGATGCTTACAAGTTCCAATTAATCCACCATCTCTCAAGAGCTTCATGGGTTATCTGGATACACTGTGGCTACTCACTGGTCAGAGCACCTGTCCCTGATCTAATCCAGCACCAGGCCACATATTTCACTGGTCAAATAAGCAAGCACCTGCCTAGTCTTCACTGTTACTGTGGGGAGGTTCATGTGCCAAATGCAAGGATGCTGTTACAGTAGAAAAAGTAACTAAAGCCAGTTTTAAAAAGCAGGAGCTCTGCACTATCGTCATTCTACTACATATTATCCCCAGTTTCCTTGATAAAATGTTCTTATCCCAGACTTCCTCTTGGCTATGCATATAACATCACCTGGTCCATACTGCTACTGGTTGATAAAACAACAGACATCAAAGAAAAACCTGGACTTCATTATCAACAGAATTTCAGTTTAAATGTCTGCTGACCCTAACCATACTTCTGGGCTTAATGGGTTTTTAGAAAGACATTTTTCAAAACTGCTTTCTATAATTCAAACATTTTGACATTTGGTTTTGATTAACTTTGAACTAGCTCTGGTATTTTGTAGTAAAATTCAACAATTTTTTTTTCTTTTTTTTTTGGGGGGGGGGGAGGGGAAGGGGGCAAATTTTCACCATTAGTTTGACTAACCCCCCTTCGCTTCTAAACCAAGCCAATGCCATCTTATTTTGAAAATAACAAACTTCAATATGTTAACATCCATTGACATCAATCAACATGCTCTCATCCTACAACCAAAACAACCATAAAAATATTGTAAATGCTCTTTACCTGTAGAAACATTTTCATTGCCAGATTGTAGGACATTGCACAAAGCAGTAAAAAATCCGAGAGCCGTGATCATACTTCATGTGCTCTCTCTGGAGTGAAACTGTTCACCATTAAGACCATAAGAACATTACAAAGGGACTTCTACGTGTGTTCTTACACGTTTCAGGTCAAAAAAGTCTTGGTATACAATGAAAACATAAGTTAACAAGAATTAGTGCAGGAAAGGGAACATGTTGCAAACCCTTAAGACATTCTTCTTCCTATGAAAAGTGCACATGAGCAGAATTAGGGCCGCAGTTGGTAAAAATAAAACTTGGCGGCATACCTGCATGAGGTTTGTGTCCAATTGAAAAACAATGCTATAAAGATACTCTTCAAATAACTATTTAATATGTAATGTTGGCTGGAGACAACATCTATTACCATGAAAATTTAACCAGCAAATATACCCATTACTGCTCTGTTCAACTTGCTATGTACACCACTTGCAAGGGCATACTACATGTAGTACTAGTTAACATCACTGAATTGGACTGATTATAGGATAGCAATTACTTTTTAAATCAATAATTCAGTTTGGTCAAAACACAATGTCTGACATGTATGTTAAGTCAGATACAGTACACAAATTAATGAAGTACATTAAGATATTCAATAAAGAACAGAATGTTCACAAGTTTTACAGTTACGATATCCGAAATGTATAATATCTTATATATCTTATATCTTGAGTGAATCCACCCTTCACACCAATCAATGAATCTTGACTGTAACCCCCTGAAAGTTTCAGTAAATTTCACCATTTGTAAAGATACAGGAAGGTCAAGACATCAAAGCTCCCGATTGGCAATAAGCCGTATACTTCAGCAGGTGTACACCAACAATTCATACAACAAAAACACAAATTTATTTGTTCAAGTTATCATTGTGATTCAACTGTTTGTCCAGACTAACCAATCCAAAGCTAAGCAAACATGGGTCAGTTTTACTGAAATGCCTGGCTTCTGAAGAAATGGACTGACTTTTATCACTTCGTTCTTTTGACCAGACTTTCCCTAACAATAACCATGAACTGGTTCCGACTTTGAAATAAACACATTTAAAATCAGATTTATTTCATTAAAAACTTTACTCTTCAAATTCATCCACAATATTAGTAATACTAATAGTTACCTGCTCACACTTACATGTACAACACCATTTAAAATCCAGATTTTAATATTTATTGGAGCAATTTAAATGTTAATTACATTTTTTTCATAAAATCTAACTGAGACCACATCTGTATGTCCTTTTAATATCTGTAAATATATAGTTTTTCTCCTCAATATCTAACAAGCTAGAAGCCAAGCAGCTAGAATTTATTTTTTATAACTTATACTGAGCATTTATTAATATTTAGAAAGAGGAACATTGTCAAGCACTGTTCTCACTGCAAACATATCCCTCATTAATGGTGATTTAGTTAGCAACATCATGCAGTCCCTTTACTTCCCGCTCTTTTTAACTTCATTTACAAAAGTCTCATACCCAGCCAGAATAAACTGAAATAAACTAAAATGCTTTAAGAAACGGAAAAGCTCTTTAAAATGTATACCTTAATTCTGATATAAGTTAAGCAATAAAATTTAACTTTGTGGGGTATAAAAAGGTTTTCAAGTTCAGTTAAAATCCTTTATTATTAGAGCTACATTTCAAGAGCTGAATCCCCATCCACTGAGCTATATAAACATACAACTGAGCATATTCCATTTCACAATTACTGATGGTGTTTACTCAACTGTTTTGGGGGGCTGTTGGACTAAATCTTTGGTATTTTGATCTCTGTTAAGGCAAGCACTAATGAATACAAGCACCACTAGTTGATGCCTATTCATGCAATCAAAATACACCACTAATATTGATTCTTCCTTTGTAGCCATATTCTTGTTGACACATGGACTTATTTTCTCCTGTACATTACCTTATAATCCATGTAACTTTACATAGGAAATGGTGTTCACAAAGCAAGATGATCTTCACATCAGTTTCACAGTTGATATTTCAGAAAAGTACTAACTACACTTCAAAACCACTAAGTACATACATCAAATTTAAGAACGAAGACTCAGCGAGCTATTTTGCCACTGACCTGGCCTCTAACTAGCCCATGGACAGCCCATACATGAGAAACACANACGTTGATAAAGCAAGACAATCTTCACATCAATTTCACAGTTCATATTTCAGAAAAGTACTAACTACACTTCAAAACCACTAAGTACATACATCAAATTTAAGAACGAAGACTCACCGAGCTATTTTGCCCCTGACCTGGCCTCTAACTAGCCCATGGACAGCCCATACATGAGAAACACATTGTACATCACATGGTTATAAAAAGACATAGGCTAAATGCCCAGGATTTTCCCAGCATTCTTATACCAAGAATGTCATCTATTTGGAATCATTGCACTTTGCATCAATTTCTCAATTCAATCTTCATTTCATTCATCATATAGTTCACTGTGATTATGAAGTTGGCATTCACAGCAAAATTGTTTATTTTTCTATATATTCTTAGGTCATCAATTAGTGATTAATTCAATTTAGATTCCAGAGGCAGGTTTTTTTTTTTTTTAAATATCTGCAAAAAGCAAAGTGATTGAGATGGAATGCGAGCAAGTATTTTTTATAGTTCTCAGATCCTTTAATTCAACCAAGAGCGCAGCAAAAACCACAAGGGCAAGCTAACCTCATTTCAAGTGTAAATTTGAAGTACACATCATGCTGAACCAGAAAATATTTAGACATGATAAAAAAATGACGTATCTCATTCTGACATTTTATTTTTGTTTTCTACCACCCATCAACTTACATATTTACTATCATAAAGAATTAAAGCAAAATAGGTTTTATGTTTGCATGCATGAAACCACAATGCTTAAAGCGAACCTTCGGGGTTTTTTACTCCTAAAAATGTAACCACACCCTAATGCAGCTATCTCAAGCACTGGCTTCCTAACTATCCTTCAACCGGCCCGAACTATAAAACATGTGTTTACAGAACATGGATGATGTAGGAACTGTTTTCCAAAAATACAGTATCACTTTTCTGACATTGCATAGACACAAACTTGAGATGCTTTGATGATTTCCCCAACCAAAAGCCAGGAGCTTGTATTTTATCTGCTTCAATATTCATTTGACAATTTAAATGGGCAATTCAGCATGATAACTATTGTGCTTATCTTATTAAAATTATGGTGAAGGTTAATTGAAAAACAAAAGCCCTAGCAATGTATATTGCAGAATTTGGGTGAGGACCACATAGCTAAGAATCCTTACACTCCATGCATGCTCTTATGATTCACCAAATAAGAAACAGGCAAGTGTTTCCAGAATTGTTCAGGCCAGAATTCTAAATATTATGGCATTTTGTTAGCTTGGTCAAGGCTGGGGACTGGCACTCTGACTATTTGTAAACACAAGGTCCTGTGGAGAAAGATTCTCCAAATTCACCAAACCTGCATTTGGATTTTTAAAAATGTACAACCTATTCATGAAAAAAAAAGATTTATTACAACTATTCAGCTATTTTTTAAAGACTGCAAGCAAAAAAATCTGCCCTGACCTTAAAATATGTCTCATGCGCAACCAATCAAATTCTTTCAAACTAGAGAACACAAATTTCAGAAAACAAATATCCAAAATCTGCCACATAATGGGGTGACGAATAATGAATATATAGTAATATTGAGGTCTTGACACAATTATGTGGGCCAAAGCTCCATTAGTTTTCCATCTGTTGGAATGTGTGCTATGATATAGCAAGGACCATATCTGTAAATGAAAAGCAGATGTGCACACAGCCCTGGATACTGGGTGTGTCCTGAAGCCACTGACATCCATAATCACAGTGCGCAGTCCACCTCTCAGAACTGTAGTAAAATACAATGCTGAATGTAAAAAAATATCTAACTTAAAACTTGAAATAAATAAGGAAGATTTATGGGTTGCGGTTGCTGTTTACTGAATAACTGCATGTTAGAATTGATGTGTAAATTAAGCCTTCAAAGTGTGAAGTTGCAGGCCCTGTAGCCAGCAATTTCCAAGGAGGGTTCTATTTCTGAAAAAGTGGACCTCTTTGCCCCATAAGTGGCCAAACTTCAAATATGACATAGAACCTAGATCAAACTCCCACACGACCTGCCTATGGGCGTGAGTAGTGGAGGGGGATGTGGGGGGGGGGGGGGGGGGGGGGGGGAAGCAAGTAGCCTGCATTGCTCTTCTTTTGTATAATTGAGTTCTTGATTGTATTTAAATTAAGTGATCCAAACTAATAAGCTAGTTAGATTCAGTGAATATTGGCCTTGCTTCAAGTTGTAAATAGGGAGTAAGTGGAAAGTGATGGCTATCAGGGTGGAAGATGTTAATGGTTTCCTAAAATCAATTAGAAGGGGAAGTGGATATATGAGATTAATCCAATTAGGGGTGCTTACTCCTCTGCTGATGCAATTTGACACCCTGTCTTTAACACTGACAAAAGAAACAGCTGGGAAAACGGCGGTGGTTTAGTTGGCATGTGTTTCAAGCAATTATTTAATTCAGGTTTTAAATATTTTTATCAACTGTGACCATTGTGCACATACATTTTTGCGCGTGTAGGTTTTGGATTTCTTCTGCAAAAAAGTTCTTTGCTGAAATATCACATCGTAAAAAACAAATTTAGTTAATTTCAAGCGTCGGCAAATATTTAACTTTAGCACATGCACAGTGGTTTTAAATTCATTCACGTCGCCGCATAATTGCACACATAGTATTTACCTTTGACTACGCGCACAGCTACACACTGCACTCGCTTTACTTGAACAGACTCTTCTTTCACGGGACCCGAGCCGTGTGTCACCGTCGTGGTCGTCTTCACCGTCTTCATCTCTCCAGCGTTCTCGTCCCCACGCCCCGTTGTCACTGTCTTCACTGTCTTCATTCCGCCGTCTTCAACCACGGTCTTCGTGACGGTGGTAACTTTATTGCCCTCTGCGTCCTCTGTTGTTGTGGTAGTAACATTCTCGGTCGGTGTAGCGCTCTCTGCCATCGAGCCAGTCGCGTTGAGGTCCCCGACTACAGGATGCTCAACTTCAACAGGCTCAGTGCTGCCGTTGGCGATGGGATCTAGCGCACTTGTCACAGTAAGATCCAGTCCTACGCGGCCGGTATCGTCGTCATCGACACAGCTTTCCTCCAGGCTGTCCAGCAGCTGATCTGTGAACACACCGTTCGACTGAGAGGCCTTCCCGGCCTGACCACGGGCAAGAAGGCTTTCTTCCACTAACTCTTTCAGGGGGCGAAATGTTCCCTGATCAGAAACATCCCCCGAATCGGAAACCTGAGATACTTCGTAACTGCCTGTAAAAGCCATTGTTCGAAATCCACCAGACTAGGCGTCGGAGCAAATTTGGAACTTCCAGCACGACTACAAACAACCTGCGCTCTGCCACGCTTCCATGACATGAAATGAAGTTGGTTTGAAAACAAGTGCCCGCTGTTCTGTTAATGCGTAACGCCCCCTCCACACTCGTTACTCGCTCTTGTTTTAAGTGTCGGTCCCCAGTCTTTCAATGTTTGATATCCTTATAACTAAGGTAAAATGGTTGTTTAAATCACTTGTATTTATTTTAGAATATTAAAATTTGTGTTTGTTATCTGGTTATTCTACGTTACTTTCATCAAGCGATATTACAAGTCCATACCGATACATGTATTTGAAGAGTTCGCAGCTTTCTGAATTTTATTTTTCAAAAAACAAGAAAAAATAGTATATTACGTGGATTACATACAACACACGATCTTTTGGTTTTTTGAAAAAGCCGAAGTTTATATTCTTCAACATATGTACCTTGTGATGACGCAATAAACAAAATGGACATTGAAAAGAATAAGCTTGTAGCAAATTTTACCTTCTAGTCTTGAAATTACCCAAATTATCAACAGATTATCTATTTTAAGAACGTTATAAATGAAATCAACTATAAATATTTTGATGCATCTAGAAAGATCTACATAATAGTTGTTGAATACAGCCCAGGGGCCGAAAGCTCGGACTGTATTCAACAACTATTATGTAGATCTTTCTAGATGCATCAAAATATTTATAGTTCTATTATTACCAAGATCTATACGGTGAATCAACATGAATCCTCAAAATGAAATCAACAAAACACTTATTTTCAGAAGATATTTAATCTGTAGTTTTGATCAGCTTCTTAGAGGAAAAGAATATGTCATTGCGATAGATGTGAAAGATGACTTGCAAATGCGGTTGGTTGCTCTAAGCAAAAACAATCAGGAACCGCTTTGAGGATGTGAAAAGTATTATAATAACTTTGCAAGTTTTAGGCAATGATTTCATTTAACATGAGTTTACATCCATGTTTCATTAAATGCATACCTTGGGCTGTTCCCATAACCTCCCGGTTATATGTAGATGGTGCTTCCAATCCATTTCTATATCTCTTTTTCCAGTCTAATACAGCAGAGGTATTTGACACAAAAGATGTAGTTTATCAGTTTCCGTTCAGCCTGATTTATTTGGAAGAAACAAACTGTAGGGAATAGTCTGAATCTGACAAAGCGGTTATTAGGCTATAGGTAAAGATAAAGAGAGGCTACAATTAACCTAGTGTTTTTTTAGGTAGTGACAACACAATCTTAGAATAAACCAAGTCTTTGGGAACATATTTTTGAGCTGTATCGAGGCAAAGTTTTGGTCGTCGAGTATTTATATCTTGCCAGGCTGCACCATAACCTTCAGGGCACCATCTTGTCCAGTACTGGCTATCTCCATGGCGTGGACAATCTTCTCTAGGGGGAGGGAATGGGTCGCTATCGGCTTGATGTCCACAACACCCGCTGTTATGGCAGCCAAGGAATTCTTAAAACTGAAAATGTTGAATACAGATAGAAGAAAGGGGCCACAGTATATCCAATGATATGTTGATCACGGATCTGAACGGTGAAATAGACCTACTACAAGTGGCGTTTTTATTAATAACCAAAATAACATGAAATTAGTAGGCCTATCCGTACCTCTTAACTTGACGTGAATATGTTAGAAATAAGGTACTTGGTATTGTATCACTGTTACTCACTTGTTCCCATATCTGAAGGCACTCAGAATGTCAGCCTCTTTAACAAACAGCATGGCCGCAGGTATGGTTGCCGTTTGGGGAGCCACGCCCACCAACACCACTTTACCACCTTTCTTCACGGCCTGCGATAATCATTCGATTAAAATTATCATAATTAGATGACTGTCAAATCATTATTGAAATAAATAAAAATTAATTAATTAATTAATCTAAAAAAGTTCAAAGAAAAGCGCAATGTAAAACATTGCAATAACAACAACATCAACAACAACAACAACAACAACAGAAATAATAATAATGATGATGATGATGATGCTGATGAGAAAGTTACATACAGACAACCAAGAAACTGTTTTCAGCACAAGCAGTAATTATGGCTACAGGCCTGTAGCCAGGTGGAGGTTTGGGGGTTCAAACAAACCGTCCGTTTTGCCTAGAAAAAGTCAGTTCTGGGTAAAATAAGTAGGCCTACACAAAGGTTTCTATGGTAAAAGGTCCACTTTTTCAGAAAAAATACCACCACCCCCTTTGAAAGTGCCTTGGCTACAACTCACGTGTATAGCGGTCTGCATTCCTGGGTCCGTGCCACTACATTCCAGCACCACCTCGGGCAGGTCCCCCATGATCTCCCCTATCTTCTTCCCTGTAGCTGCCGTGTCACTGCCCTCAACCAGTACCGTGTGTGTGGCCCCCATCTTCTTGGCGAAATCAATGCGACTTTGACGAATATCTAATGTATAGAAATTAAAAGGGACGTTGTGATATGAGAACCAAATGGGGGAATAGTTGAACGAAGAAAAAGATAGTGAAAAAAAGTAAAACTTGAAAACTTGTAATTCGAAAGAACGTTAGTAAATATCTGTATCGATGGCCAGCACAAAATTAGCTTTTCGTTTTTCCATATATGCAAGAGAAATTAATATAACTGAAGTTATGATAAACATATCTTACCGACAACACAAATTTTGGACGCACCAGCGGCTTTTGCTGCGACAAGGGACAGCATTCCAATTGAACCTGTGACACAAAAACAACAGACGTGAAGGCAGAGCGTTCTACTAGTACCATGAGCTTGGAATTTTCAACATTTTGACAAGTACACTGTACATACCTGCTTAATCTCCATGCTCTAAAAGCTCTACTAACGGTTCTCATATTTTGTACACGCGGTTCTAGCGTCGCCAGTAGCTGATTTCTCACCTCCGCCAACGATAAGGACTGTCGTCCCTACTCTGACCTGTCCTCTTTCACAGCCGTACACAGCCACTACAAACGGTTCCAGAAGGGCACCTTCTTCAAATGTCATTGTGTCTGGCATTCTGTCAAAATTTAGAAAATAATTTTTACTGCGTACTATTATTCAAAGACATATCTTTTTATGTAATAAGGCATTGGGTTATATCAAACTCTGTTAATTACTGATTTGCTCGGCGATTTGATTCATTTCTGGGCGCCTTCATCGATAACCTACTTATAGCAGAGAGCGGCCTTGTGGACAATAACTTGTCTGAGATGTCCCATGCCAGGTTCCCACAAGTTCAGTTTTGGACACAGGGTACTGCGGCCTTTAGTGCAGAACTCGCATTCTCCACAGGAAGGTGCTGGATCAATGGCCACCCGGTCACCTGCACGTGATAATGTAACTAGATATTATTGTGACACCGGGTGCAAAGTGTTTTTTTAATTGAAATGTTATGTATATCAGCACTAAATATCTATATATCTAAAACTCTCTCTCTCTTTCTCCCTCTCTCAAAGGAGCTTATATTTTTTGTTCTCTTAGCTTGTTAGTTTGTTTGTCTGTTATCAACATTATGCTAAAACTTATGGGCGGATTTTGATGAAATTTCCTGGATAGGTCAAAAATGCGCTGACTTATCTTAAAGTAATTAGAATTTTAATTAATTCATGGTTAATTATTAGTTAATTGTTTGTCTTGACGGAGGTCTGCGAGTGCTTTTCTAGCTACCATTTGTACAGTTAAGTACAGAACCTACCCACTTTGAGGTCGGTGACCCCTTCCCCCACGGCACAGACCACCCCGCTACTCTCATGGCCGAATATGAAGGGCTTCACCAGGGGGTGCTCGTCTGTCACGAAGTACCCTCTCTGCCAGGCGTGGAAGTCGGTGCCACACAACCCCACAGAATGGACTCGGATTTGAACCTCTGTGGAACAAACCACGTGTTATTTTTTATTTTTTTATTATTTATTTATAACTTGCAGACGATTGTGAGTACATGTATTGTTACTGATGATGATCATATTTCCTATTAACTGTATTAACAGTATTACTGTAACTAATTACCAGACAGTGTCGTATTATCAAAATATGTTAGTAAAATGAAATGAAACAATAAAAAGCGAACAGTAGGTCGTGTTTATTATCAATGCATGATATAGACATACATTTAAAAAGGTTACGCGGTGTAAATTGGAAAATTATTACATAAGAGATATAAATTATACGTACGTCCCTTTCCTGGCTGAGGAACTGGAGTCTCTTCCTGAAATGAAGAGAATAAAAACGCATCTGTTCAATTTCAAACTATCTTTAAAATATATCGCTCCTGTCACGTGGTTCTCTGTTAACCAAGTTAAGTTTATCACCATCAGATTGTGCAGTCTAAAAAAATAAGAGATGGGCAAGCGCCTTGTTTGCATTGCACATTGTACATCAAGCTTCTTTCTTAACCAATATGCACCATGAATTAATCAAATAGTCATATTCCCGATTTCTTGTATTGCAATATCCAGATATATATTTGAAAAAAGGCAACGCACTTTAAAATCAAGATAGTTTAACAGATTTTATATTATTTACTTAAAGTTGTTTAAATTTGAAATGAAGCATTCGTATGTAAAATTTTGTGCTTCACAGATTGGTTTTTTTGTTTTCGAATAGTTGCACGTTTTCTCCTTGGTAATCATTTGATCTAAAACCAAACATCTAATGAGGTCGATGTACGGACGTAATTATGTCAAAGTAGCTTCTATGCAATTAGACGTGTTGCTGTGGGCGTAATTGGTACTGGTGGATCATGATTATATGATTTTTTTTTTTTTTTTTTTTTTTTTTTTTGCAGTTGTTACACAACATGTACATTCGCAAACTCCATTAAATAAATGTACGAGACCTCACAAAAAAGGTTTTTATATATGTGAAAATTCACCATGTTTCAGTTAAAACAATTCTCTTACATTCGATTTGGTCAATGGTTAAATGTGTATTTAAAGTTATCATAAAGTATGGATGTATTCGTGTTCCTATTCCCTTGCGAAAAAATCCTATAGGATCCTATAAGATCCTAAAGAATCCTATAGGAAATTGGCCCAATTTTCTATAAGATCTTATAGGATCCTATAGGACTTTTTCGTTAGGAATTGGATAAGTCGCTAACGTCTTTTATTTTGATCAATAAGTTACACGATTCGTTTTATACGTCCAAGTCACAAATGATATTTTAACGTTTGATTCAAACATCAAAACACCTTAAGTACAGTAAATACACAGTATAATCCACCATTGAAAAATAGTGTGATGTGGCACATTTGTGTTACAAACCTCAACCAAATCTGTGCCAGCGTCAAAGCTAATGTAAAGTGGAAACCCAGAATACTGTTACATTACTATACCCCCACACGTGGAACACCTGAATGACACCTGACATCTTGGGGACCCTGGACACCGTTTTGACATCAATAACTATTTAACACACACACACAGCCGTCAATTTCATCTTCCTGTTCCACTTTCAAGGTTCATTAATTTCTTACCAGTCGTATATCATTCTTTCCGTGTAACACGGCAGCTATTTGGTCACCCGTAACAGCGGCCATGATGTGTTTGCACTGACAGTAAGATCTAGGTTTCCTCACTGCCGGTATCGAAGATAAGAGGTAACTACTGATAGATGCAACGGTTAGTGAGGCAATGTTTATCAGCAGTATATATAGACTTAGTCACTGTAAACATGCATCAAGATGTCAGAGTCCGGTATACGGGGTCGGTAAAACATTCCATGTTTGACAAGTTCCGAACAACACTGATATTTTAAAGCCCCAAAATTGAACAAGATATTTTCCTTACTCCATAAACGTTTTGTTTCGTTGATGCCATTTGTTAAAACAAATTTCATACCTTTTTTATAAAAGCGGGACAACATGTGATCCTGCATAGACATTCGCAAATATATCAAGACAGAAACGTGTTTTAAATCGCTAAGTATACGAGATGGTATACGAGATAAGACACAATCTTATACAAGACACACACACGCCCCAAAATAAGGTTTAACAAAGTGTTAAGAAGACGTACCAAAACTTGAAACAAGTCTTAAAGGAAAGCTGAGCACAAGATGGACGAAAAACCGAAACCGGCAGTTGAAAGTAGCACGGAGGACATAAAAGACCTCTTTTACGTGTCCACGCTATTTCGTGTTGTGAAAACCGTGTTCCTCATTCTAACATGGGTCTGTCTGGTAAGTGTTGCAAACTTCTACAGTGTCGTCTATTTGCATCTGTAAATTTTTATCTTTTTTTTCACTTCATTTGCACAATGGACACCATTCCAGGATCATTCTGGGAAAGGAAGAGTGCGAAGCAATTCCATCTTGTTCTGCCTTCTCAGCATAAAAAATTTCAAAGAATCGACAGAGAGGAACAAGACCACGTAATTGTCATTGACGCCAGAGCCGCCTGTGTCTAATTGATTTCAAATAGAATTGACCTCCTACCTCTGAAAAAAAATGCAAATCCTTTATTTTCAATCAATAAATACCGTAAAATATATGTGTTCTAGGGTTTGTCACTGGAAATCTCGGGGCCGACCATGCAGGACCTCATTCTGCGCACTGGCACCAACTATGAGGAAGTGTCTCGTGCCATATCTGGACGCAGCGCGGGTTTCTTCACCGGGGCGGTGATCGGGGGGTTCCTGGTGGACAAACTGCGTCTGTACTGCGACCTGATGATCGGAGTTAGTTTGGTGATTATGTCAGCCGGGTCAGTGGCCGTACCATGGTCACCTTGGACAGGACTTATATGGTTCATATTTTTCCTGCAAGGAACGTGTGAAGGGGTCATCAACATAGGTTAGTTAATTATCCATTATCCATGTTTCTCCACCCATTATGATAGCAAGGGCAAAGGGGTCGTTCTACTGATAAATATCACAAGTCTTATTGAGGATAGATTTTGAAGGTAGTTTCGTTAGTCGGTAAAAATTCTTCAAAAGTGTAATATGAGTACTACACAATATGGTCTGTCTTCTTTAAAAAGATGTTGTTGATCTACAATCATTGCTAAATTGTTTGCCTTAATTTGGATATTATTATGCGTTGTGTTAGAGTGCCTTGTTGTATATTCTTTGGCACTTAGTCTTAGTTCTCTAACCTTGGTTTTGGTAGTTCCCAAGGGCCATGGAATGGTAAAGGTTTTTTCTTTCTCTTAAAAGAGATTGCAAATTTTATCAAGGTTGGGAGTATAATTTAGTCATGTCATTTGCACATTGTCATTTTGTTTCTTTGCAGCGGGACAAAAACTGATTTTATCCATCTGGGGAAAGAACGCTGCCTCCCCACTCCACGTGTTACACACGGGCTTTGGCGTCGGCTCGATGATCGTTCCCCTGATCGCCAACCCATTCCTTGCCAACATACAGACAACAACCCTCACAAATACTTCAATGAACATAACGTCTGTGTTTACCACCGCCCTGCCCCCTACACTTTCAAGTTTGGAATACACGACAGACGCCACAATCTCGACTACGATAACTCGCGTCCTAAGGGAATCCCGGATTGAATATGCCTACTTAATCGTTGCCATCCTCGTCACTACTCTCTCCCTTGCCTTCTTCGTGTACCAGTGGAAATATTCCGAGTATGTCCTCCATCCTGCTGACCACGAAACTGAAAGTAAGAAGAGAGTTCATGGAGTCAAAGAATTTATCCGCATCATCAATCCGGCCACCTGCGCCGATGGTAACTTTTGTTTTGGGCTCCAAATGTTCATACTGTTATCTCTTCATTTTTTCAATGCGGTAGGCGGGGAAAGACTGTACGGTAAGTTCATCCGATCCTATGCCATAGATCAGCTCAACTTCTCAGGGGACGAAGCAAGCTACTTAAATGTAGTTTTCTGGATCAGCTTCTCTGTTGGCCGCTTCTCCGGGTTCATCGTAGCCCACTGGGTCCCTGTCCGCTTTTTGATCATTATAGAGGCAGCCGGCGTCTTAATTTCGGCAATCCTGTTGAATATATGGGGGCATACCGAGCCCCTCATGCTTTGGATCTTCACCCAACCAATGGCGTTCTTCATCGCACCTCTGTTTCCCTCAGGTATTGCATTGGGTGACCATTACGTAGAAATGAGCGGCCTGGCCATTACAGTGCTACTTCTTGGTGGATCTATCGGTGGAATTGCTTACCTCTTCCTCATCGGCTATTTGTATGAGAACTTTGGGCCGTCGATGTTCATGTACAACGTGTTGGGGTACGCTATAGCCGTGGTGGTGATGGTTGCCCTGCTCAGTGTTGTTGGCCACTTGCACGGAGATCGGTACCAGCGTGAGGATGAAACAGAACGAAGTATCGGGGATATGAAGAAAATGGACAAACTAGAATACGCGGCAGATAACCCTCAAATGTTGTCTTACACCAATACTGCACTGTAGCTGTGACACGTGTTGCTGTAAAAAGACGACGACCATTCTTGGTGTTGAGGTGGTGATTACTGAAAATTTCAAGAATTTCTTGAGTGCACTAAATTTTTCATAGAAACCATCAGTATCTTTTGACATATTTTGTTGAATTTTTCTATAATTACGGAACCTTGGTGCAAAAGTAAAGGCTAAAGCTGTCACGGTAATGTGTAAAATACCCATGCTTGACCATGGCGGGGTCGAGCATTTTATAGAGCCGATTAACATTGATGAAATGCCATTATAGGTGGACGGATATTCTCAGTTTTAATGTGAATAATCATGGCTCTTTAAACGAAATGTGTACATGTACCGTATGTGTAAAAGTTATTAACATAAAGTTATTGAGAAAATTTGAGACGATCTGCTCTAGACTGAACTGATTGAGAAATTTAAAAGCTTGATTTTGCATGTATCGTCAGACTATAGTGCTTCTGTGAATATATCGCAGGAAATACTGCTAGAGGGTGAATTTAAGGACTTAAATATTGTAGTCAAGGCGGGCCTGCTTCCCCTATGTGGACATGTAGCCTTTATTGTGCAAGAAACAAGTATTGTTATTTTAATTACTGTGCGTTTATTTTATTCAATAGGCTTTATTTGATACTTGGTACGATGAACGGGTCACCCTAGGTTAAAGATTTTCAAAATCTTTTGCAGAGTGGCACCAAATATATGGTCAAAATACAGAAAATATTTTGAATGTTCATTTTTAGTGACGAAAATACAAGAAATTAAAATTTCTACTTAAAATAACATATATAATACTGTATAAAATAACATTTATTCTGCATCTTTAAGTTGGATTGTGCATGTACATGCACTATAAAAGAGCGACAAAAGTAGCTAAAACACATGACATTGTCAACTTAAACATATAACAAGAATTCAATGTTGAAAATGTGAAATCAACCAGTACTTTTAAAATAAAGACTAGACAAATAATGAGATAAGATTTTCCAAATCATTATTATTCGCTTATTTTTTCTTAATTTTCTGACTGATAATTGAAAACAAGGATTCAAATCGTGTTTTAATAACTTTTAATAATTTCTTTAGTGTCATTGCGGCATCACTTCTTTAATTGAATTAACCTCATTAAGCCCAGAAAAATACATGGTTGATTCTAAGTCATACAACAGCCAATTAAAGCGCAATTTGGATGTCCATATATATTCCACATTATTATCTGGGAGATAGTTATAAGCCCCAAAAAGGAAGCTCATTTCAGCGTCTAGTCACAGCAACGGTCGGTGGTACCGGTACATCTGGCTTCACCTGGCTGCTACCATAGCTCTCAAGTGGCAAGGCATTCCTTCTGACATGTTTCTTAGAGTTTGCTCTGGAATAAGATTCCGGGTATCGATCAGAGTTTTCCCAATTTGACCCCGGTTTATTTTAAGACGACTAGGACGTTGACTCTGCGAGGGAAGTCAACCTACAGATTGTCTATAGGGCTAAGATCTGGTCATATTGATGGCCGCGATAACTCCTCAGAGCCTTAATTGGTTCTGCAAGTAATCTGCAAATACTAATTAATGCTTTGTGTTGACGGGCATTTTCATCCTACACTGAGAATAAAATCGGAGTCCAAGTGACTCCAAACTTGGAGTCCAGCAGTGGTGCCTAAAATAACTCCCAATTGGAGTCAAGTTGACTCCGATGGAGAAATGCCATTCCAGACCCCACAGGAGGGTCACAATTGACTCCATTCACACATCCATTCATCCCTTGATTTATCCCTACAAAAGATTCAGCATGACCCCACATTAAGGAAATTTTGACTCCTTGGCACATCATGAACAAAACAACAACAACGGTGCCAAGGGGAGAGACAACAAGTGTCGTTCATTTCAGATGGTTGTGTCCCCGGACGGACTCCAACCCACGTCCTCCCGCTCCTGAGGCGGACAGCCTAACCACTAGACCATGTTAGTCACATGTGGTGATAAAAGAGCAATAACAAACAGTTTGTACATCTGGTAATAAACGACATATATATCTACTACAAATATACCAATGACATGCATTGGTAGGTCAAACCTACTACCTGGAAACAAACCCTGATGGCCTGTATACCAACATATCACATAAAGGGTGTGGCAACTGAAAGTCCGGGCCAGTAATAATTAAGTGCACGAGTTCTGCATGCAGAATCACATAGAAAAGCACTTGTTCATGCATAAAACCAACTATGGCCAATAAAGTAATGTTTATACTGACAAAGGATGATGCTCACTGCCATCACAAGTAATGGAACGAAGCTTACTGTCCAGCGAGCGAAAAGAGTCTGTGAAAAGCGTCAGCCAGACACTTGTCCCCGATATTTGACTCAGATTTTAGAGTCAGATTGACTCCATGAGAGCCAGGGGGTGATTGACTCTGATAAGAGAGTCTAAAGCTCTGGTAGTGGGGTGATTTGACCCATACATAGGTGTCATATTATCTCCATGAGGGTCAAGAGGTGCTGGACTCTGACTAGAGAGTCAAATGACTCCAATTTTATTCTCAGTGTATAAAATAAAATTGTTCCTGATGTGCCCTCTAACAAATGGTAGGAAGGTGGTTGCCAGAATATTCCCAAATTAACGTGGTTTTCGTCGGTAATCACCATTGGCGTTTTCGCACTAACATAAATTCCTCTCCACAAACTGATGCTGTCACCGCCCCCAGTCACTGTAGGAGCGACACACGCACGCCTTGTCGTAGGTTTCCTCGGGGTGTCTATGCAGTCTCATTTGAAGACTAAGGCGGTACAAACGGAATCTGGCCTCATGTCGAAAGCCACATGGTTCCTGTGATGTAAAAAGTTGATGGCTCCCAAACCATTCAGAGAAAAGAACAACGATGTTGTGTAGTTCACAGTGGCTTCCTCAGAAGTTGTCTGGTATAGTAACCTGTTGCAATCAGTCTGGAGTTCACAGAGGGCAATGAAAACGCTTTCTGATGGCAATCTCCCCTTCTTTCTCAACTGACTAGGTGGCCTTTATTTAGTTATAGCAGAACCGTCAGAACAGTGGGTACGTTTCTTGGTGGAAAGATTTGAACACATTGGGCTTGGCCTCTCTGTAAGGGTCTGGCCATACCTCTGTAACACTGTGTGGAGCGTTCCTTGCGAAACAAAAAACTGTTTGGGTCGCTGGGAGCATCTGTATCCGGGGTGGTATTCAAGTTGGTATCAAAACTACATTGGTAGACATCGATGGAAACCTGAACCAGATCGGATACAAGAATATTTGGCAAACTAATTAACTGGCTCCCATTTGCCAGAAGGCATCTCAGGAACAATTTCAATTTACAAGATGAAAATTCCCATCCTCAAAAAGCAATTGTATTGGCAGATTACTTGCAGAACCAAGGGACTGAGCAGCTACCGCGGCCATGAAGAGAACCAACTGAACTCCATAGACAACCTGGTGAATTGCTGAATTATCGGCCTACTGGCACTACAGCAGTACAACAAATCGTAAACAAATTAGCCTGGAATATTATTCCTGATCAAATTTTAGGAAACGTGTCAGAAGTAATACCCTTACGCTTGAGAGCCCTGGTTGCAGCCACGAGGCCAGAATCACATCTGACCGTTGCTGTGCTAAGACCATGATATGAACGTCCTTTGTTGGGTCTATAACTTTTTCACAGATGATAATTTGGAAAATATGGAGATCGAAATAACGTTTTTTTATGGTTGTTATATGACTTAGAATCGGCCATGTATTTTTGCTTGTTTAATTATGTGAATTCAGTTTTAAAAAACTGGTGTAACATTTACACTTTAATATATCGAAAGTTATTAAAACGCGATTGAAAACTGCATTCATTCATTAGTCGAAAAAATTGGAAAAAATTTGAAGAAAAATTCTTTAAAAATGCAGTTTAAAAAACTTTAATTTATCGAAAATTTATTAAAATACGATTACAAATTGCTTCCTTTTACTGTAAAAGTTGTTTGAGTAAATCCATGAGAACTGTCAAGGCAGTATAGGAGCAGTGTATGTACGGTGTGTAAAGGCATTGTAAACGTGCATCAAGATGCTCGAGTTCGGTGCTTTGGGCGATAAAACATCCCATGTTTGACTACTTCGAACAACGTTGTTTTTCAAGTGAACTGATCAGCTTTTCAAAGACGCTGGCTCTTCTCTTAGGAGTTGTTGGCAAGACTAATCTAGCCTTTTTGACAGCACGTTTTTCAGTAGATGCTGGCGTTTGGTTGTGTGAGAAGCCGTTTTATTCTTGTTACGTCCACTGTCATTCAGTTTGACTTTCATCCATTCGTCTTTTCTTAGGAGTATGTTTGCATACATTTAAATTTTCAGGTTCCCCTTTTCTTTTTTTTTGTTGGCCTTTGTTCATTGCCATCCATGTTTGATACTTCATTCACTGAGAGAATTATAAGTGTACTTTGTTAATCATGCACGTATTGTAGTGCCCGTATATCAAACAAATAAGTCCATAGAATATTAATCCATACACAGTTTATTATTTTGCAATTAGTTATATTTGGCTAAATATTCAAAGAAATATTGTTCATTTTGAATGCAAAGAATAGCATCTTTACTGATATTATTTCTTTGCAGAATATCTTGCCTGACAATTATCAATTAGTATCACTTTATCGCATATATTTATATTCAATGTTTTTTCTAAACATCATAAGACATGAATACATTTTATATAATCTACACCAATATCTTGTACCATATTTTGAAGTTTTATCATCATTGATAAGTAGCCAGTTATCCAATGGTTAATGTATAACTTGGGGGTACGGGCACTACAGTAGGGATACGGACACTACATTTAGCACCAAATTCTTGCATATCTTTTCATAATAAGGGGTTATGTACTATATTCTTCCTGCAAAATAAATGTCAGTGTGGACATACATTAATAATAAAATCAGACAGAATATGCTGTGATTCCTTAATAAAACCGAATGGGGGGGGGGGGGGTACGGACACTACAAATATTGG